GTAGGCAGGCTATCCTGGCTCTGCCCAAACAAGAAGGACTTGGCTGGGGTGGCCTCACTGGAGGCACTCTGCCCGAAGAGGAAGGTACTGGGGGGCCGGGATAGGCGCTGGGGCAGGGGTAGAGCTGCTGGGGGTCCCAAACAGACTGGGGACAGGGGTGGTGGAGGAAGAGGTGGTGGTGGTGGTGGTGCTGGCCATAAACCCAAATGCTGGCTTTGGGGCTGCAGCATCTGCAAGGAAAACAACAACGGAATGAAGTGAAGAATTATATCATGGTTTAAGTGTAGACAGTGTTTACATTAATTACAAACAGCTGAATAGTTGATTAGTGAAAAAAAAAAAATATAACAAAAAAAGAATGAAAATTCCACTGTAGAACATCCATTCATAACATTGACAAATACAAAATGGGTTAATAATAAAATGAAATATTGCAGCAGAGTATTCCTGTCACCTGCTGTGCTTTGCCCAAAGCTGAATGAGGGCTTAGGGGCGTCTGCTGCTGGGGTCTCACTCTGGTCTTCCGGCTTCCCAAAGGCGAAGGCAGGTGCTTTGGGCTGGTCCTTAGGTGGGTCTGGCTTACTGAAGGAAAAGCCCATAGATGGAGCAGATGCCTCCGCCTCTTTATTAGCAGCACTGAACAGGAACCCAGAACCCATAGAGGCAACCTCCTTCTCAGGCTTCCCAAAGGTGAAAGAAGGGGCCTTGTCTTTCTCTAGCGATTCCCTGAATATGCTGCCCCCTAGTGGTGTGGCCAGGGCAGGAGGCTCAGCTTCAGCCAGCTTCCCAAACACAGGAGCTGCTGCTGTGGTGGTGGTAGTCATGGTTTCTGTAGAAGCTCCACTGTCATTCTCTGTAGAAACAGGGAGGCTGAAAGTAGAAGAGGAATAGGATGTTGCCTCCAGATCAAAGGAGAACCCTCCGTAAGGAGGTTCGCTCTCCGTGCTAGCAGCTGCTGCAGTGCCGAACGACAGCCCACCGCTAACGCCAAATTTGAACCCGGCACCTATACTCGGGGCTTCATCCTTCTTCCCCTCGTCCGCTGCAGGGGTGGAAGCATCAAAAGCTGCAAATTTGAATCCCTCAGAGAGGCCTCCGAACTTGAAGCCTGCAGAGCTGCTGGTGTCGGATGGGGCAGCTGCACTGAATTTGAAGCCCCCTGAAGAGGAGGAGTTAGAGAGGGTGCCGCCGAATTTGAAGCCTCCAGAACCAGAGTCCGATGACGCCCCCAAGCCAAACTTGAATCCCCCCGAGTCAGACGAGGACTGGATACCAAACGATGAGGAACCAAACGCTGAAAGAGACCAGGGATCATATTAATTAATAAGTTCAGAATTCTGTACAAAAAAATGATATTTATGAAATTCCTTATCAAGTTCAGGCTTCACATCTATCCTCACTCAAATCAAAGATCTTGCTACAATGACAAAGCCTCTATGACACACATGGCAGTTGACAGCTGTACATACCTTTGGGCTCTACTTTAGCCCCAGGCTTGGGGGTCTGACAGGCCACACATGCCTGGTCTGCTCCCTTGTTCTGAACACAGCACACGTCACACTCCCACGCTCCCTCTGGCTTCTTGAACTGGGCCCCAAAGCCTAGTAGAGGAGTGGTGCTGACAGCGGCGGGGGTTAGAGATGTAGGCGCTGCGGTCGCTCCTGTTAGGTAGATGAAGATATGAGCCATCAGCAAAAATATAACACATACATTTGCATCAGATTCACGTCATTTAAACACTTCCTTGAAGATATTCTAATGTAAACTGAACATTCAGCCAAGATAGCAGTATGGGGCAACTTCATGAGGAAAAACCCTTCAGGACAAAATAAAATAACCAGCAGGTTGTTCTCTCATCTCAATACCTGGCTTAGCGCTCATACAGGAAACACACTTGATGTCCTGCACCTTGTTCTGCACCATGCACACGTCACACTCCCACGCTCCCTCTGGCTTCTTAAACTTGTCCCCGAAGCCCAGGAGTGGGGCAGCAGCGGGCAGAGTCTTAGCCTCCGAGAAGGCAGGCAGAGTCAGTGTGGCCTTAACTCCAACCCCAGGCTTGGCTGTCTCACAGGCCACACATTTGACAGCATCAGGCTTGTTCTGAACCAGACAAGTGTCACAGTCCCAGCTTCCTGCAGGCTTTGTGAACAGGGCCCCAAAACTTGCAGCGGGAGTAGTGGTGGTGGAACCCTCCAGGCCGGACAATGTTGTGAAGGGTTTACTGTCGGTTTTTGCAAAAGAGGAGCTAGAGTTTGGTCGTGGGGTCACACAGGCCACACACTTTGTGTCAGTGGGTTTGTTCTGCACCATACAGACATCACAGTGCCAAGAGCCTGTTGGCGCTTTGAACAAGTCCCCAAGGGAGGGGGCGGTGGTGGAGGACAGGGCTGGGGTCTCCTGGGGGGCTTTGGGGACAGGGGAGGTCCGAGTAACAGGAACGGCAAATCCTATGGGGAAGAAGAGATTGGGTTAAAAACCACTAAAACTAAATAGAAAACTCATGACACAATTTGAACCCTCCCATCAAAATGGCAACATAACACTGTCATAACAATGACATAACAGATTATATAAACAGTCATGACAGCTGATGGAGTACCAGTTTATGGCAACCAACTTTCAAGTCATCATGAGAAATCATCAAGCAGGTCATTCTCACCAGGTCCATTGAGGAGGTCCAGAACACTGCCCTGTCTCAACACCTTGGCTGGTTTTAACGGCCCTTCAAACTCCTCCATGCTCTCACTGGCAGCGTGCTTCACTACAGAGACACCAATAGAAACAACCATTAGCTATGAAATGAATTTCCCTTTACATGAAGGTTTGGATCTTGTTTTTATCCAGGAGTTGATCCAAGCTTACCTGCTGCCACTACTGGGGTGGCCATCTTCCCGTTGGATAGTGTCAGACCTGTTTTCACTACAGGTGCACTGAAGGTAAATCCAGACTGAAAGACAAAAAAAATAACCAATATCTGACAGTGCAAGGTTTGGTTTCAATACCTGGTACAGGAGTAAGAATATGATCTCACTGTTGTTGAGTGTCAAAAACAGAAACAACAATATTCTATAGGGGTAATACTGTCATCACAGCAGGCATACTCAAGCTGCAGTAAAGCTGTGGGACTTACAGACGGGGAGAAGGACGGTGGGCTAGCAGCAGTTGCCATGACGATAGGGGAGGAGAAGGTGAAAGGTGTGGAGGGAGGGGTAGAGGGGGCTGTAGTCGGTGGCACCTGGAATAAAGACGACGACTAAACCAGGTCAGTTTCAGCAGATAACTCTATTTATTCACTATACCTTCATGGTCATTAGGATGAACACTGAACACATTGAAATAAAGCTAGTCAAAAGTAGTGCACTATATAGGGAACGGGGTGCCATTTGGGATGCATCCAAATGGAGCTGAACGGACCTTGTTAGGGACGGGCTCCTCCAGGACAGGTGCGGTAGAGAGAGCGGCAATGGGCGCGACTGTGGCGGAGGGGGGCGTGACTGTGGTGGTGGGGGGCGGGAAGAAGCTGAAGCTGGGCAGACTGAAGGTGGAGCTGATGGGGAGAGAGATGGCTGGCAGGTCCGATAGCTCAGCGATCTGAAGAGTGTCAAAAAGAGTATTTAAAAAAAGCACCTGATCATTTCTACACATCCCACTTTCACCCTTTTCTGAAGAGATTTAGAACCAATCATTAATTTATCATTTGCCAGGAAACCAAACTTTTCTCCCCAGAAAGGAGAGGGTAAGAGAGGAGAACCCACCTGGTCTTCAGGACGTTTGGAAGAGGGTCTTGTGCTGGTCCTCTCCCTCTTCATCTTCCCTCCTCCTGACCCTGTGCTGCTGGCTGCAGGAGTGCTGGACAGAGGGTAGGTGGATAGACTGCTGCTTGTGCTTTGAGAAGGACCTGCCACTGCTTCAGGAATCAGAGGGGATTGTCTTGTGGGCTGGAGAAAGAGAGGGGGGGGGGGGGGGGGGGGGCAGGGTGGAACATGAAACACAAGCAGCAGTCTGTCTGTAATTTGGAAAGCGACTCTGGAATGAAACACAGCCTTAGTTTGTAAAGGCTTCTACACATCTATCCAACCACAGCCAAGCCAACCGTCTATGGACAAGTTTTAAAAGAATCAGCCCGGTGTGTAGTCAGTTGGTCGCCGCTGGACATAGTTGCTGGACATCGTAGTAGGTCCCGATTCAACATGTAGAAACAGTCATTGACAGTCTGAGTTGGGGGAAAACTTCCCAACACATCATCGATAGATAATTTGCGGTAGTTGGATGGATGCGTAGAAGCCATTAGCTGACTAATGTGGAGGTGGTGGTGGGGGTCCTCACCGTGTCTCTGGGGGTCCGAGCCAAGCCCCCGGGGGTCAGAGAGGGTCTGAAGGACATTGAGCGGTTCCCCGACACCGACGCTGCTGCCGGGATCACAAGCTTCTGGACTGGGGGGAGGGGAGAGTCCAGCTGGAGGGGAACACACAGAAAAGTCAGAGAAATACTCAAAACAATGTGTTCCAGGTGCGCGCACACACAAATGTACAATGTTAAATGTTTGTCTCAGCTCTCCAATCCATATATGGACATTATCCACAGCTGGATTAATCTGGCCAAATAAAACCAATGAAAAGTTTGAATAAAATGGCATGTGCCACTGCCAAACTTTCATTGAAAATGTTCACATGGTCCATGAGAAACCTCGAAGGCAGCACTTAGTCAATATGGCCACAACATTGAGAGGAACCAGCCCTTGAGCCTTCTGCCCCAAAAGGCCATCTCTGGATCTGGACAGTCTTGTCAGACCCCCTTCCTTCTCAATGGCCCATTGTCAGGGCTTAGTGACCAGCTGTCACAGCTGGACCATTTAAAAGTTACGGACAGCCATCCAGCCCTGGCATAGCTAACCCCACTAGAAAGCAACACAAAGAGACACACATGCTCACAAACACACTCCACACTCACTCACACGCCCACTTACTTAAAAACACACGCCTGCTCACAGACTCAGGACATAAACACAGCAGAGCAGTGGTGAACAGCTGCCCCAGGCTGACACCCATTAACTACAGCAGCCAGGAATAAAAGAGGCAGGAGGAACTACAATGACAGCACTGTTCACACCAACCGACCGCAGCGTTAGGCTCAAGACCTTTTAGCTGCTGCTGTGCATGTTAGTTGTTGGGGTTCATAATATTGTGCAATAACAGCTGGGAGAAAACTTGTTTACAACACATGTAGAGGAAAGGAGACCAGCCATAATGTCAATTGTCAGTGTCAAGAGATTTTGTAAGGGTGTTTCGAAGATAATCACTTACCCGTTTCTTTTTGGCCTGAAAATGTGAAAGGTCTAGAGTGCTGCCATCCAGTGACTGAAGGACATAGGATAAATAAATGTGAGATCGTGACAATGACAACAATTGAGGAACTAAGAAAAGTTGAAATACTCAACACTTACTGTTGACAAGGGAGAGGAAACTGTAGAGGGGATTCTCTTGGCATCCTGTTAAGACAAACACACAACTGTGATGCACCTGTTAACATAATAAAGACAAACCCTTGAATGAGTAGGTGTTCTAAAACGTATGACCGGTAGTGTATAATTCACTTCCTTGTGAAGATTCACCACTTCTCAAATCGCTTCTCAAGAAATATAGAAAATGTAATGTATAAAGCTGACTGAGGTTGAAAGGTCTACACAATAAAATTGAACGGTTCTGTAACCATTGTGCCAGGCTGCTGAGTAAGCCCCTGTTCCTGCTAATCGGAGGGTTCCATATTCAATTAAATTCAAATAACTTCATTAAAACATGGGTGCACTCACGGCGAGGGGGCTGGACATGCGCTCCAGGGACTGTAGGATGCGTCGGGCGGTAGCGCTGGTCACCCCACAGGGCTGAGCCGCAGCAGGTTTGGCCTTGATCTGTCTCCGCAATGGAGCCTAGAGGGGAAAATATAGCCATCAAATTAAATATAGCAGCACTTTTTACAAACCCATTTCCCACAGAATACTGCATCGGGGGCTTGTTTCTTGCCTAGGAGAAAATCAATGGGGAGACATTGTTAGTTGTAGAGGAGAACTACCTGGTAAGGTGTGGCTGTGCGTGAGCGGGCTGTTCTAACAGCAGCCGCTCCCCCGTAGGTAGTCTTCCCTGGGTAGAAGGGGGAATCCCCCAACTGACTGGAATTCAGCACTGAACTGTTCATCGTAGACTAGAGGAGAAAAACATCAAAGCCCAGTGTTAAAAAACACAATCATAATACCGCAAAAGCAAAAGTTTCCAAGTGCCTATAGAAAGTCTACACCCCGCTTGGATTTCGTCACATTATATTTTGTTACAAAGTGGGATTAAAATGGATTTAATTGTCTTTTTTTTGGTCAAGGATCTACACAAAATACTCTAATGACAAAGTGGAAGAAAAATTATATATCTTTAAAGATAACTGAAATATAAAACACTAATATACCTTGATTAGATAAGTATTCACCCCCTGAGTCTAAATATGTTAGAAACACCTTTGGCAGTGATTACAGCTGTGAGTCTCATAATAACTTTGCATACCTGTATTGTGCAATATTTGCCCATTATTCTTTTTTTATTTTTTATTCTTCAAGCTCTGTCAAGGTATTGGGGATCATGGCTAGACAGCAATTTTCAAGTCTTGACATGTTTTCAAGCAGATTGAAGTCGAAACTGTAACTTGGCCACTCAGGAACATTCACTGTCTTCTTGGTAAGCAACTCCAGTGTAGATTTGGCTATGTGTTGTAGATTACTGTCTTGCTGAAAGGTGAATTCCTCTCCAAGTGTCTGGTGTAAAGCAGACTGAAGCAGGTTTTCCTCTAGGATTTTGCCTGTTTCCGTGACATGGTGAAAGTACAATCCAATAAAGAGGCAGAGAATTCAGTTTAAGCTATTTGTGCAGGCAAACATGAACGCCATAACATGCCCACCACCACTATGCTCAATACACAACACTTAGCTCCATCACGTTTCTTTTTATCCTGAAACACTGCCCAGTCTTTGCCGATGCATGTGCATGCTTTGGATGTCAAGCATACCCATACCATGATGCAACCACCACCATGCTTGAAAATAAGGAGGCAGTTACTCAGTGAGGCGTTGCGTTTGGCCCAAACATAGGGCTTTGCAAAAAGTGGATTTCTTTGCCATTTTACTTTAGTTCCATGCTGCATACATATGCATGCTTTGGAAGATTTTTTTCTTCTTCTTTTCACTCTGTCATTACTGTGGAGTCACTACAATGTTGATCCATCCTCAGTTCTCCCATCACAGCCATTGAACTTTGTAGCCGTTTTAAAAATCACCAATGGCCTCATGGTCATGGTGACATCCCTAAGGAGTTTAATTCCGGTCCTGCACCTCAGTTCAGAAGGACGGCTTCATCTTTGATGTGTCTGGGTGGTTTAATACATCAACCACAGCATATTTATCAACTTTATCATGCTTAAAGAGATATTCAATGTCTGATTTGTTATTGTTAACCATCTACCAATTACTGCCCTTTATGAGGCTTTCAAAAACAGCTCCCTGATCTTTGTAGTTTAATCTGTGCTTGAAATTCAAATACTTTACTGAAGGACCTTACAGATGTTGTATGTATGAGGGACAGAAGGGGTAGTCATTCAAAAATCATGTCAACTATTATTTCCATATAACTTACTATGTGATTTGTTAAGCCACATTTTACATCTGAACTAATTTAGGCTTGCCTAAACAAAGGGGGTGAATACTTATACAACGACTACATTTTAGTTATTGAATTTTTATTAATTTTCTTTTCACTTTGACATTATGGAGTATTTTGTGTAGTTCAATGATTCTTTATATATATATATATATATTTATATTTTTTACAATTAAACATATTTCCCACTTAACATAACATTTTAAAACGGTTCAAGGGGGTGTAGACTTTCTATAGGCACTGTATGTATGCAGGGTTTTCTGTTAAAAATGTACTTACATTTGTGTAAATGATCAGCTATTATTATTGCAACAGATCAAAGTAAATCAACTGAACATCAGTAGCTAAGCGAGTAGAGTTTGCGGACTCTCGACTGGCACTCACAGTGGAGGACTGACTTGACTGACTGACACTCACAGTGGAGGAAGTCCCAAAGACAGACAGGTTGAACGCAGGCTTCTTGAGACTGGACTGGGACTGCTGGGGCCCAGAGTGGGTCCGGTCCATCTCCGGGGACCAGAGCTGGGGTAGCGATGCTGTCTTAGAGTTCGGTACATCTGGGGACAGAGAAAATACATTTTTGTCAAATTTGGGTCATACATCTACGTAACAAAATACTGAATTTCAGCAGTACCGACTACGGACGCTAAAATGCTATTTTCAAGATTTGGGAAATCATTTCTCAAAGCCACATCCTACGATTAAAATCTCTTCTGGTGACTCTAGACCAAAAAAAAAGATTGCTAGTGGCCAAAACGTGATTCAGTACTTTTTCCACACACAATCCCCAACACACACACACTACCTTTTTCTGATGCGCGTGAAGAGAAGCCGCTGGTGGTAGAGATGTTGTCGTCCTCGTGCTGAGAGCAGTTGTCCTTTATCTCTTTGACAAGGGAGAAGCTGGACGAGGCCCCAGCGAAGGGGCCCCCGGAGAAAGGGGCAGAGGAGGTGGAGGGCTGGGAGAAGAGAGAGCTGGGGCCTCCCAGGGCCGGGGAGGCTTCCAAGGAGGGGAAGTGGAGGTGGGAGCGGTTGAGGGGGGGCCTCGACAGAACATCCTGGAAGTTCAGGGATGCTCTGCTTGTCGAAGGCTCTGGGGGTGTGGAGGAGAAATGACTAGGGTTAAGATGGGTTGATCCATATTTTGAGCTTCAAAATTTCACTGAAGTCCCAAGGCAAGTCCAACTACTGGAATTAGGCTTTACAATCCAAACACAAAGGATGAAACATATTAACAAATATTATATAATCATGGCAATGGGCTAGATCTCTGCCATAAATATTTATTTAAGCAATAAGGCCTGAGGGGGTGTGGTATATGGCCAATATACCACAAACACCCGAGGTGCCTTATTGCTATTATAAACTTGTTACCAACGTAATTAGAACAGTAAAAATACATGTTTTGTCATACCCATGGTATACGGTCTGACATACCACGGCTTTCAGCCAATCAGTATTCAGGGCTCGAACCACCAGTTTATAAAAATATATATAACATATCTGCCAACCTGTATTGCTGGTACCGGGTTCCGGAGAGTCCCGTCCATCAGGAAGGGGGGCTACCTCCTCGCTGCCATTAGGGGGCAGGGCCTGGCTGTTCTGCTCCGCCACCACTATGGCCCCTCCCCCCTCTGCAGCCTCCCCGTTCCTGAAGTATTTCTGCAGCCAGGAAGGGACGATGCTCTTGACTGTGTCTGTAACTCGACTAATCAGGCCTGGCTGCTGCTGGTGGTGGAGAGTGGGATGGAGAGAATAAGGGAGGGGGAGAATAAGGGATGGAGAGAGACGTTTAGCACCATAGTGTGACTTTCCAAAAGAAAATAAAACCGTGATGATGAACATTGTTTGGTGAATGTCTAGTGTTACACATTCTAGCAAAGTACAAATTAATTCAGGGTAACAAACTCCAAAAAATGGGAAAACACACTAATGATGAATGTGCCACTAGGTATTGAAAGGGAGAGCGAGCAGTGGGTGCACAGAAAAGTCATTCCACTCAAGCGAAGCGCAAAGACCTACTTACTCAAGCTCTCAGTGAAAAGTGGGTCAGAAGAGTCTGTCTGACGCAGCACTGAGCGGCACAGGTCTAATACTGTAACACACATCCATCTACAGTAGAACTAGGCTTATCTATATCTACAAGCCAGAGGGAGATGCTTCCTGTCTTTAAACCAAGATCACAAAACAAGATAGTCCCGAAGTGCTACCCAGCTTCATTAACTACACTAAATGTCCTTTTAGAATGGGTCTGCAGGCAGCATCAAGCACGAGTTAAAGTTTGCTGCAGCAGTAAAGAGCAACTGTAAAAAGGAGGTAGCTAGCACCAGTTCACATGCACACCGCTGTGTCTCCTGGTAGCTTTTGACTCCTGAAAATGAGCATATGCTCCACTCCACTTCTGCTCATCTGTAAAAAGCACTAGTCGCGCAGCGCTGCTGTCCACACTAAATTCACACAGTTTTTACCAAGCCAGTGTAAACAATCAAGCAATTTTACATTACTTTTCACAATGCAAATTGTTTATAATAATAATAATAATAATAATAATAATAATAATGCCTTTAATTTGTTACATTCACTGCTAAAATTGACCGTCAAGATATTTTGTGGTAAAAAAAAATTTGACTGCGAATGGTGGTCCTCAAGAGCATTTGACTGTGATTTGGTGTTCCCCGGAATGGAAAAGGTTGTGAACTGCTGCTCTAGATAAGTCTAATTAACCTATGTACCAGCCACAGCCTCTCAGACCCCTCTGTGGGTCAGTTAGTGCTTGCAGGCCTTTCTTGTGATTCTAGGGATTTAAGGACACTGCATTACTGTGAATGGGGCCATGAGACCACAGGACTGTGCCAGAATGCTGCTCTCATTGTTCTCCCAGGAAGCACTTGTGTGTGTGGTTGAAACAGTGAGATGGGATGGAGGTGTACAATTGACAGACATGTGAAGTTCAAGTGAACCAATGAGCTGCTAGGCTATACAACAAACTGGACAATGTGTCTGACTCAGACTGTAGCATTTCATAAAAAACTAAAAACAGGACCATCATTATTTTGAATGTGTGCAAGGTAATACAGAGCAGCAGTCTGTCCCTTAACATGTGCCAGCACAACCATAAATCATAATATAGGACCACTACTAAAGCAGACAGGTCAAGTGGCCAACGTAGCTAAATATACAGACCCCAAACCCTTCAACACTGGCTCGGGGTGCCACACAAACAGACGTAAATGCAATGTTCATTATTTCCTATATGATTGGAAGAGCCGACTACGTCACACCACAATAGGCCCCTCATCTGGGGGCGGTTAGTTCTATGACACATCCTGACTACAGACCAGTGTTTAACCTCTAAAAATCTAAGGGGGGGGGGTTCTACTAAGCTAACATATGGAATTATTTTAAGATTGTCATACTATGGATTATTTAGCTATTTGATTTAGAATTCTAGGACCCTGTAGGTATCAAAAACATGTATTTAAATTATTTGGCCTTTAATACTATAGCCCATAGAAACGCATTGAATAACACATTCATAAATTGAAAAACGGAGTCAAAAAAATAAAGGAATAACGGAGAACACCAGTGTGTGAGAGTGTGAGAGTCTCTCCTTTCCATATTAGTTAGTAGGCCGAACCGTTGGGACGCTACAGATATTTTCGTGAGATGACCGATTTTCGTGATGTCTCCTGGTCGGACAAACAGCGCTGTAGCTCTGCCATGTTCGACCGCAGACGCGGAAGGCCAACATACGCGGATTGAGACTTAGCCAATGCAAAAAAACATATCTTGCTTAAACTTTTGACGTTTTTTTATTATTATGTTAATTCGACTGATGCATGGGTGCGTCAACGGACTCTTAAGTTAAAGACTACTAGACTGGTAGGCGTAACTATACAAAAAATATATATAAACAGAACATTTAAAGTGTTGGTCCCATGTTTCATGAGGTAAAATAAAAGATCCCAGAATTTTTCCATACACAAAAAAAACGTAGTTCTCTAAATTGTTGTGCACAAATTTGTTTACATCCCTGTTAGTGAACATTTCTCCTTTGCCAAGATAATCCATCCACATGACAGGTGTGGCATATCAAGAAGCTGATTAAACAGCATGATCATTACACAGGTGCACCTTGCACTGGGGACAATAAAAGCCCACTATAATGTGCAGCTTTGTCACACAAACCAATGCCACAGATCTCACAAGTTTTGAAAAGCGTGCAATTGGCATGCTGACTGCAGGAATGTCCACCAAAGCTGTTGCCAGAGAATTGAATGTTAATTTCTCTACCATAAGCCACCTTCAACGTCATTTTAGAGAATTTGGCAGTACGTCCAACCGGCCACACAACCTCAGACCACGTGTATCCATGCCAGCCCAGGACCTCCACATCCGGCTTCTTCACCTGCGGAATAGTCTGAGACCAGCCACCCGGACAGCTGATGAAACGGAGGAGTATTTCTGTCTATAATAAAGCCCTCCCAGACCCTCCCATGGTTGTGCTCCTGCCCAGTCATGTGCAATCAATAGATTAGGGCCTAATTTATTTATTTCAATTGACTGATTTCCTTATATGAACTGTAAAATCATTGAAATTGTTGCATTTATATTTTTGTTCAGTATATATGAAAGTGTCAAAGGCGTGTGGAAAAAATCTATTCCCGATGCATTTTTACAAGGGAGGTCCAATCTGTAACCTAAAGAGAGGATGCTTCGTGTTTAGTTCAATAAGGTGGGATGAAAGACTGAAAGTTAATGAAAATCCCCCCAGCAACTCAAATGATTTACTAGTGATTTCACTCGTGATTTTCCTTCCCGCCAAGGCCAGTAACCTGAAACCAGCTGCTGTGATGACAGTTCATAACTTTTACATCTCCATTTAAAAGTGAATAGGTCTACTGCTTCCCTCACCAGCACTTCCCAGCTGACAGAAGAAAAGCACAATTTATGCTGACATGTAGGCTTACACAAACATAACCCTAACTGGAAGTTCGAGTCCACTGGTTTGAAGTGAACGCCAGTCAAATATTCCACTAGTTTGGTTTGGCCTACACGTCCTCTTTATTATTACTGCTGGTGGGCTCCCTACCCTTCACTTTCCAATGGCCAATCTAACAGTCCCAGTCTTTGCCCACGGGCTATTAATAAAATGACTTTATAAGAAACTCCTAAATGGTGCATCGTCCCTGTCAACTGAAGGATTGTAATGATTTACTGACACGTTTGACTTATGAAAACCCACTGAGGCATTTCATGTCAAGGTGTTTTATGTTCCTGAAAATCTGGACACTGATATGACATAGAACAGGGATCGGCAACTAACTTTTGTAGGCCTGCGGATCAATTCCCCACCCCCCGAATGAAATGACTGAGCCACGAGTTGAGGACCAATTAAACCAGATTCCTTCCCTCTTGCAAAGATTGCGTTACCATCCCTTTATTTGAGGAAGACGACTGAGTAAATATTTTATTAAATCAAATGTGTTGTGTGTTCAAAAATAGTCATGTTAAAATTAGAGTTGACCCCATCTAGTCGACTGGTCGATTGTTTGGTCAATAGGCTGCTGGCAGGGCCTAAAATTACGTTTGGTCCACCAGCCACTATGGCAGGTAGATTTAATAATCTACCAGCCACTCAGATTTGTTTACCAGCCAAAATATTTTTCCACGCTAAAATTACACCAACAAAACAGATGAGCATGCTTTGAAATGTTTCTAAAACAATATATGTATTACTAGTAAGAAGTAATGTGGTATACTGTTTAATTTCATTTTTTGTGACCCAAGTCTTTTAAACAAAATATCACAGATGAACAAAAATGCTCACCCTCCCCTTTAAGGGCAGGATGTTACCGTGGTAACGCAACTCATGTTTGTGCCTGTGAGATTTAGTCTCACTAGTAGAAGCATAGTCTTCTCTTCCCTAGCAGCTGAAACTCAAACATTGAAAAACAACCTAGCTTGTGAACAAAACAAATGTAAATAGCGAAGAAACACAAGGACAAATTCTCACTTCAGTAGACTTTAGTTTCAAGTAAATTAGACCAATTTTTATGCCTGTGCGCAGCACTTCTAAAAAAAAATGCATCTTTCACAGCCAGGCAGTGTTGCAATGCGAAGTGGGATAGGTTATATAGTAATCGTAGTTCTCTGACTTTGTGCGATTATTTTGCCAGCTATGAAACAAAATGGCAGAAATACTTTGAAAACAGCTACTGCAGCATTTATTTTTCTATAAATGTGAACATACTTGACTATTTTTATTCACAAATGCGAGTGAAATGCTCGCACTGTGGAGCCCTGACCACCCGCCAACGTGGCTAGTGAAATAAACATCTTACCCGCCAATGCCAAAATCTACCCGCATTTGGCAGGTGTTAATTTTAGGCCCTGGCTGTTGGTTGACCAAGATTTCTTTAGTTAAGCAGTCGCAAATATATTTTTTTCTTCATGATTCCCACAAGATACCCATCTGATTCGCGCCTTTCTCAGTGGACTAATCCATTGCGGAGGCCATAAGGATGACAGTCCATCACTCTAAGACATGTGATACTGGAATTGTATACTGAACAAAAATATAAACGCAACATGAATTACAGTTCATATAAGGAAATCAATCAATTGAAAAATGCATTGGGCCCTAATCTATGGATAATCTGTTTGTTTAATAGCTTACTGATTCCGTAACCATCAAGCCCCATGCAACCGCAAAATGTTGGATAAAGCAATTTCCCAATTAATCTTTGCTATGCTGTAATAAAGGCTTTACAATTGTTTGTTTTTTCATTAGAAAAGACTCTGGTATTACTTATAATGTATTTAGTGTTGTTTACACTGTTCCAAACAGGCATAACATTTGTAATCTAACAGCACCTTCCTGTCACATAATATGCACACAGCTCTCGCTCCTATACCCTCCTTTTTCTTCATCTCCTTATTGTTATTATCATCATCATTATTATAATAAGCAATGTCATTATCATTAGTAGGCTTTGTATAGTATGAAAGAAAAAAAAAGTATGCACTCACTAACTGTAAGTTGCTCTGGATAAGAGCGTCTGCTAAATGACTAAAATGTATAGTGGTAGCATTGTATAACCACCATCGAGCTGTAGGCCTAAGAGCGGATCCTGTTTAGTCTTAATACTTATGCCTATATTTCAATATATAGGCTACTGTATCAATCAATCATGTCATCACACAGCATAGGAGTCATTCATGCCTTGTTACTTCTATTTCGTATTATTTTATATTGTATTTTTTTGTGATTTTTTTTTGGTATTCTTCTTAAAACTGCATTGTTGTTAAGGGCTTGTAAGTAAGCATTTCACTGTAAAGTCTACACCTGTTGTATTCGGTGACAAATAAAATTTGATTTGAAATGCAATCAAGCATTTGTTTAAAAATTAACAAAGGGAGCTTTGAAGAATTATCCAAAACTATAAATAAACCACAATTCACGAATGCAACTGTTTAGTCTTTGCTGTAATAAAGGCTTTATACAGTATATTTCTTTATTTTATTTCCCCCTCATTAGAACAGACTCTGGTACACTTCTAATTTATTTTGTGTTGTTTACACTGTTTCAAATTATCAGAAAATATAATATTGTAATCTAACAGCACCTGTTTGACACACATAACTCATGCAATGCTTGCTCCTATACCCTCCTTTTTTCTTGATCTCCAGTAGTTTCCACAACTAAGTCAAATTTCTTCCACAGATCTGACTTCCCCCCTTTCAAGTTTATTTTTCTTGTCCTCCGCATCCATTTTGCAGTCACATTACGGTGTTCGGAGTTTGTTATAACCAATTTATTGATGTGATTATGATAGGCTATAGATCAGGCCCTATTGGTCACGTGCATGCGATGCATACGTTTCACATAAAGAGAGCAAGGGATTTCGGTAACATAACTTTTCAGTCAAGGAAACAAGTAAGAAACAAAATGGCTGAAATGATGTTGCAGCTTCAGCAAGGACAGCGCAATAAACAGTTGCCATGCTGCCCTTTGGCTGCAGCAGGGAGAAGAGACAACGTGCGCCAGTCACACAGGCATTTGCTGTCTTTTTTTTTTAACACAGCGTGGCCTTCGGGCTCCATCTTGTCATTTGTGTGTCTTAATTATAGAATCAAACAGTCCGCTTAAAGAAATCAGACAAGCTCAGTGCATATAGTTGATTTTATTCAAACACAAAAGGGTGTGTCTATGAAAAATACACGTTTTATAATTTCGACCAATCGATAAGAACAATATATATTATTATTTTTTGTCGGGGACAGCTCTAGTTAAAATATATCACATTAGACATTTAGTAAAGACAGAATGCCTTTTAAACTTCCCTCAAAGTAACACTTTTGTATGACTTAATACAATTATTTTAATCGATAGGAGTGGGGGAAAAGGGGCTTGTGGTTGTGCGTTGATTAGCATACCAAAGTCGGCATTAACGATAAGTAATAAAATAAAGATGTAACTTCTAAAAGCCTATTTCACACCATAGCCTGCAGAATTTGCAAGCTAACTTTTCTTTCATTTTGATTTCTGCACAAATGAAAATGTGGCGCTGACTCACCCATGGATTGATGTTTCAGCGTTGTCTCAATGAAGAGTTCGGTGTTCGAATAACGATGTGCGACATGCACACACAGTTACAAGCCTGCTGGAGTTAGCGGCAGGCGGACGAGCAATATCCACCGTCGTAGTACAGATTAAGCCTGACCTGGAATGTGAAGCTAACTGAAGCTGGCTATCTTTATTCGTAGGATACCCCTCAGGAGAAGCACAAGTTCACTAGCTACAACTAACGTAGATGGGTTCTAGGGTTCCTGCTCAGTGCATATTTTATCCTGCCTTTCTTTTGGTGTGTCCACTAGAGGTCGTCACGGGTCCATCCGAACAACCGAGAGAATCCAGGTCCAAAATTCTAACTTTTCCCCTCGGGTCCAGTACTGTTTGATTGAAATCGGGTCTCGGGTCTATGTAACTACAACTGATCGACCCGAATGGACCCGACCACAGCTCTGCATAGCATCTTTACACTAATAAGTAGGGTGTCCTCCCACTTTGCCTAGAGTGGGTGAAAACGTGCTTTAGTGATGACATTTCACTTCAGTATGTTATAAAATACATTTTACCAAGACAAATATCATTCTTCATGTTCTGAATCGTTCAGTGGGGTCTTTCTCTAACATATTAACATTATATCCAAAAAGTAGGATTTCGTAAAAACAATAAACGTGATAAAAAGCAATCGACAGAGCAGTGCCACTTTCTCGCAGTGACTTTTGAGGATTTTACATATGGTGGTTGTCTGCAAAGTTGTTTCCGCGTCTTACAGAAAGACAAATTAAAAGGTAGACTCAGCGATATGACGTAGATGCAGAAAGTAAACAGCAAAGTGGGACAATTTCCGCAACAACTAAGAGCGTTGAAGCGCGAGGCTCAACTTCTCTGTTTTGGTGCCCTGGCTAGCTCGCTGTGAACTGCGTGAAGCAAACCCCTGCACATACTGTGTGTGACTGATCATCTCAATGTCTGTGGTGCTGCTCATAGCAACATTATTTTGTTGAGTCCACCTTTAACATGACACAAACTGAATTAAATGTAAAAGCAGTGGTGTAAAGTACTTAAGTAGCACTTTGAAGTATTTTTACTTAAGTAGTTTTTCTGGGTATTTTTGACAACATTCCTAATGAAAATAATATACTTTTTACTCCATACATTTTCCCTGACACCCAAAAGTACTGTTACATTTTGAATACTTAGCAAACAGGAAAATGGTCCAATTCACACACTTATCAAGAGAACATCCCTGGTCATCTACTGCCTCTGTTCTGACTGACTCACTAAACACAAATGCTTCTTTTGTAAATTATGTCTGAGTGTTGGCTATCCGTAAATATAAAAACAAGAAAGTGGTGCCATCTGGGTTGCTTAATATAAGGAATTTGAAATAATGTACACTTTTACTGTTGATACTTATGTATATTTTAGCAATTACATTTACTTTCGATAGTTAAGTACATTTAAAACCAAATACTTTTAGACTTTTATTCAAGTACTATTTTACTGGGTAACTTTCACTTGAGTCATTTTCAATTAAGGTATCTTTACTTTTACTCAAGTTTGACAATTGCGTACTTTTACCACCACTGTGTAAAAGGCTTTGAAAATATAAAGCTTGTGGTACGCTCAGTGATCCGTTTACATTTCAGAGATATGCTTGTGTTTTGAGAAAAGTTCAAAAAATAAGAATTTCGTAATTTCTAAAGCGTACACTAACATATGAAAATACTACATGTCATGTCTCAAAATCGATCTTACCTCCAAGAAGAAAGAGGACAAGTTCAACTCATTCTCGCACAGCATCCAGCCTAGCTGACGCAATGCTATTTTCCAGATTTTTGACCACTTTCCCCCCCCTGGCTTCCATTGATTTAGTCACCCTAATTTTGGCCATCCTACAATATCCAATAACTTTTGAACGGATTATGATAGAGACATGAGGTTTGGACCGCATTGAGTTTGGGTCTGATTGTTCTCGGGTCCGGTCGCCCTTTTAATTTTGTAATTATCGGGTCCGGGTACGATTGTCATCGGGTCCAACTTTTTGGACCCTAGAAGAAGTCCTCTAGTCCACTGCCCCAGGCTAGGCTAAGAGTGGTTAGCTACGTTTCCACACAGCCTCACAATTATGCCCCTTTCGAGATTTACAAAACCACGTCATAATATTGCCTTGTTTTTAAGAAATCTGGAAACGGACTACTATCACGGCGTAATATTGCTAATCATTTATTGCTGTTGCCTTAGTAGATTGTAACCAAGTAATGTTAATGTTAAAAAACTATCTAGCCTCTAACGTCTCTCGCTTAGCTAGTAGTGAACCAGTCAACCATGTGGTCACTTGAAACAGTTCTGAAATTAGCTAGTTAGCTTTGCTAACTAGCATTGTGCACTAGCTACACATTATGACCTAACCCACAATGAAATGACAATAAACTCCAATGCCAAATGTCTTTAAAAAATAGAAAATATATACTTTCATGATTGAATGGGATGTAATACTATCAGTAAACACAACTGATATGCCATAGCTAACGTTGCATGTAAATGTAGGCAGAGACAATGCAAAACTAGCTAGCTAGTTAGCTTGTAACGTTAAGTTTAGCTAGCATCCGACATTAGCTAGCTAGCTACTTGTCGACTGCTTGCTAGTTTGAATAGCTACGCATGTAGCCAACGCAAACTTGACAAGAAGCCAGTACTACGTCTAAACTAGTAAAGTTCAATATTAATACACGACAGTGTGTTAAATAACTATGGCTGCCGTTAGTCTTAGCAGTTTTAAATGATACACGCCAGTTACCTGGCTAGTAACATTAACGTTAGTTCCCCGAACCGGCAAAATGTCTGTCTCACTTCGCTAGCTTGCTCGATTCCTTGACACAGCGTGGAGGCCATGAGCGCTAAGACTAGGCCACACAAAATGTCTCCAAGAAAACAACAACACAAGAGCGAAAAGACAACTGTCAACAAACTACACGCTATCCTTCAATGTGGAACATTCATACGAACACGGTAATTTTATTTACCTGTTTGCTTTTGGCGTAAGGTTTAGAAGCGATATGATATCTTCTGCTTCTAATTTTCCCTCCACCCGTGGCCGCCATGGCTAGATTGAATATCGACTCGACTCCGCGCCGGATAGCTGTTCCAACTGTCCTGTCATAGCATTAACCATAGAGTTCAGCGACTCAGTCCTCTAACAAGGAAGCTTCACGTTAAAAGAGAACCATGGGAAATGCAGTTTAGGCATTCACACTTGCGAGCCTCTGAGACAGGGTTTATTTACGTGGTGACCCTGAAAGCTATACATTTCAGACATATCTGAGTGACAAAGGAAATTAAGACTTTAAAATGTGATGTACATTTCCCAATGAAAAATAAACAAATTAAAACGGTTGCACTAGACTCAGATCATCAAAATATGTGTATGCATGCTTTCTTTTATCAGTGTAATTTATTCAATACACAATGCATGGGAGATTGATGTGAATATCTTTATTTTTATCACTCCAGTCAACTAGTAAGACTGATAACAAAAATTATCCTCTGCTGCCTGATTCTCTGCTGCCACCTGCTGGTAAAAATTGGTAATAACAAAGGACAACAAAACAGCAAAACATCTTCGTCATGTTTTAAATATTTATTAGAAAGCTATATTCATATACATTATCTTGCAACAGTGTGCGGTGCCCATCATTCATACAAAACAAATGCACTCTTAATGCTTGTATAAAATCAAAGGTTAATCACATTACATTTCACACACTCACCTGAACAAAGTAGGTCATCATGACATTTTGAACATTTAAGGCCTGGAATTATCTTAAAAATACTGTCCAAACAGGGTTGAGATCAACTCCATTGAAATACTAGTCAGTTAAAGTTATACATGTATATTGAAAGTCAGAGTTCACATTTTTTTTATATGAGGATTTGTAGAAATAAATATAAATTATCTTTAACTTACTGAGTTAAAAAATAATTGACTCAAATTCTGAATCAAACTTTGAATACTGAAGTTGCAAACTGGGCATCTCAACAATTCAGGCTTTACCTTCATATTATTTACGTTTTCATTGTAAGTTAAATAAAATTAATCCCATAATACTTATGGTCATCATTTGAACAATACAAAAAGAGAGGGGGAACATTAAAAATGCATTCGGTACCCCTTGGTGTACAGTAAATCCTGTGAAAATTGTAAACTCAAAAGCTTCATCAAAAGGTAAATTCAACTTTTGTTGAACAGTTCTTGATCTCACACACACAGTAAAGTGGGAGTGGTCACCAAAGTGTAGTAAGTCGCTCTGCATAAGAGCGTCTGCTAAATGTTTTAAACGTAAATGTAGTAAAGCTCTCGGCTCAGCCTTTTCCATTCAGTTTATGCTTCATTTACTTTCTCACTGTTCTTCAACCACCTATTCAACCAATGTAATATCCCCACCTCTTGAACCTTCTCTCCCAAATTATCCTCCTTCCATCTCCCCACAGAGTTGGTGTGTGCAGTAGGGATGTAGTCCCTTCATTGGCTCTCATTTTTTTTAATCATCGTGTCCATTGACAGCTTTGGTTCTCCCAGAGCCTCTCCTTCGTTTAGATTGGCTGGCTGAGTTATTCCGAGAGTCTCTCTCACCTACAATAGGACAAACAGGAAATATGCTCCTTGATGAACATCAGCAAATACAATGCTTTATGTATAAAAATACATTCCACTTGACTCTGATGCTTACCTGTGATATCATCAGGGAAGTAACCACACAAGTCTATTAGGTTACCATCCTCATGCTCAGAGACGCTCTAGAAAAGAGGGATTCTTGATACTCAGTCGGAGACAAAAATAACAACTAAATAGACCAAACTGGACAAAGACTTATGGCGAATGTAGTCTTTCTGTGCAACAGTTGACTATGGGCTTACCTTTAACTCAGGCTCATACTTCTGCTCATACCGCACCATCCCATACAGACAGAGAAGTGTAATGAAGGCCTATAGAGAGAGAGACGTAGAGATGTAGAGAGCACTGACACCACAATGGAGAGCACTCACCTCCCACATAGCAGTCATATGTCAGAGCATCCCAATGGTATTACACAGCCTAAATAACACGTCATTGTTATGGACACTTGAGGTACAAGAATTGGAGCAGGGAGAATTGTTTAAGGTAAACACATGTTCGCATACGCACACACACACAAACAGAGAGCGAGACACACAGAAAGAGAGAGACACACACAGGGAGAGAGACACAAACACATAGAGAGAGAGACACAAACAAACACACAGAGAGACACACACACACAAATAGAGAGACACACAGAGAGAGAGAGAGACACACAGAGAGAGACACACACACAGAGAGAGAGAGACACACACACACACACACACACACACACACACACACACACACACACACAGAGACACACTCAAAGAGAGAGAGAGACACAGACACACACACAAAGAGAGAGAGAGAGAGACACACACAGAGAGAGAAAGACACACACACACACACAGAGAGAGAGAGAGAGAGAGAGAGACACACAAACACAGAGAGACACACACACACAGAGACACACACACAAAGAGAGACACAGAGAGAGAGAGACACACACACACACACAGACACACACACACAAAGAGAGAGAGACACACACAGAGAGAGAGAGACACACACAAACACAGAGAGAGAGACACACACACACACACACAGAGAGACACACACACAAAGAGAGAGAGACACACACACAGAGAGACACACACACAGAGAGAGAGAGAGAGAGACACACACAACACAGAGAAAGAGAGACACACACTCACAAAGAGAGAGAGAGACACACAGAGAGAGAGAGAGACACACAAAGAGAGAGAGAGAGAGAGACAGAGACAGAGACAGAACATATGCACAGGCCGTGCTCAACATGCTCTGCTCACACCTACTGTTATGGTCCGGGTCTAAACCACACAAAAACAACACTAGACACTATGGAACACAAAGATTTTACTATCTCATCCTGGAATATACAAGGTCTGAGGTCATCTGCCTTTGGCCTAAAGAGCAGGAACCCAGAATTCATCAAAGAAATTTGAAATACAGACATTGTCATTCTACAAGAAACATGGTATAAAGGAGACGGACCCACTGGTTGCCCTCTATGTTACAGAGAGCTGGTAGTCCCATCAACCAAACTACCAGGTGTGAAACAGGGAAGAGACTCAGGGGGTAGGCTAATTTGTTATAGAGCAGACCTAACCCATTCTATTAAATTAGTCAAAAAAGGAACATTTTACATCTGGCTAGAAATTAATAAGGAAATTATCTTAACAGAGAAAAATGTCCTTGTGTGCTACCTATATTCCCCCAATAGAATCCCCATACTTTAACGATGACAGCTTCTCCATTCTAGAGGGGGAGATCAACCTTTTCCAGGCCCAGGGACATGTACTAGTCTGTGGCGACCTAAATACCAGAACTGGACAAGAACCTGACACCCTCAGTGGGACAAACACCTACCTGGAGGTGACAGCATTCCCTCCCCCATACAGTGAGGGAAAAAAGTATTTGATCCCCTGCTGATTTTGTACGTTTGCCCACTGACAAAGACATGATCAGTCTATAATTTTAATGGTAGGTTTATTTGAACAGTGAGAGACAGAATAACAACAAAAAAATCCAGAAAAACGCATGTCAAAAATGTTATAAATTGATTTGCATTTTAATGAGGGAAATAAGTATTTGACCCCTCTGCAAAACATGACTTAGTACTTGGTGGCAAAACCCTTGTTGGCAATCACAGAGGTCAGACGTTTCTTGTAGTTGGCCACCAGGTTTGCACACATATCAGGAGGGATTTTGTTCCACTCCTCTTTGCAGATATTCTCCAAGTCATTAAGGTTTCGAGGCTGACCTTTGGCAACTCGAACCTTCAGCTCCCTCCACAGATTTTCTATGGGATTAAGGACTGGAGACTGGCTAGGCCACTCCAGGACCTTAATGTGCTTCTTCTTGAGCCACTCCTTTGTTGCCTTGGCCGTGTGTTTTGGGTCATTGTCATGCTGGAATACCCATCCACGACCCATTTTCAATGCCCTGGCTGAGGGAAGGAGGTTCTCACCCAAGATTTGATGGTACATGGCCCCGTCCATCGTCCCTTTGATGCGGTGAAGTTGTCCTGTCCCCTTAGCAGAAAAACACCCCCAAAGCATAATGTTTCCACCTCCATGTTTGACAGTGGGGATGGTGTTCTTGGGGGTCATAGGCAGCATTCCTCCTCCTCCAAACACGGCGAGTTGAGTTGATGCCAAAGAGCTCGATTTTGGTCTCATCTGACCACAACACTTTAACTTTAACCAGTTCTCCTCTGAATCATTCAGATGTTCATTGGCAAACTTCAGACGGGCCTGTATATGTGCTTTCTTGAGCAGGGGGACCTTGCGGGCGCTGCAGGATTTCAGTCCTTCACGGCGTAGTGTGTTACCAATTGTTTTCTTGGTGATTATAGTCCCAGCTGCCTTGAGATCATTGACAAGATCCTCCCGTGTAGTTCTGGGCTGATTCCTCAGGCCGAGGGAGCCCCAGGCCGAGGAAGATTGACAGTTATTTTGTGTTTCTTCCATTTCCGAATAATCGCACCAACTGTTGTCACCTTCTCACCAAGCTGCTTGGCGATGGTCTTGTAGCCCATTCCAGCCTTGTGTAGGTCTACAATCTTGTCCCTGACATCCTTGGAGAGCTCTTTGGTCTTGGCCATGGTGGAGAGTTTGGAATCTGATTGATTGATTGCTTCTGTGGACAGGTGTCTTTTATACAGGTAACAAGCTGAGATTAAGAGCACTCCCTTTAAGAGTGTGCTCCTAATCTCAGCTCGTTACCTGTATAAAAGACACCTGGGAGCCAGAAATCTTTCTGATTGAGAGGGGGTCAAATACTTATTTCCCTCATTAAAATGCAAATCAATTTATAACATTTTTGACATGCGTTTTTCTGGATTTTTTTGTTGTTATTCTGTCTCTCACTGTTCAAATAAACCTACCATTAAAATTATAGACTGATCATTTCTTTGTTAGTGGGCAAACGTACAAAATCAGCAGGGGATCAAATACTTTTTCCCCCCTCACTGTATGCCCTCCTAGACACAACTACGACAACATAACCAACAAAAACGGGTCACAACTCCTGCAGCGCTGTCGGATGCTGGGTATGTACATAGTCAATGGTAGGCCTCGAGGGGATTCCTACGGTAGGTACACATATAGCTCATGTCTTGGCAGTAGTATAATAATATAATAATATGCCATTTAGCAGACGCTTTTATCCAAAGCGACTTACAGTCATGCGTGCATCATTTTTTTTGTGTATGGGTGATCCCGGGGATCGAACCCACTACCCTGGCGTTACAAGCGCCGTGCTCTACCAGCTGAGCTACAGAGGACCATCCGAATAAGTACTGTAGACTACTTTATTAATGACCTCAACCCAGTCTCTTAGAGTGATCAGTCAGTCCACTGACACCCCTATAAGATCACAGCAAAATCACACTCTACTTGAACAGAGCTATGCTCATTCATGAGGCATCAAAGCCAAAGGAACGGAATAATATTAAGAAATGCTATAGCAGGAAAGAAAATAGTGTGGAAATCTACCAAAAAACTATTAGGCAACAACAAAATCAATCCCTTCTAGACAATTTCCGAGACAAAATGTTTCACTGTAATAGTGAAGGTGTAAACCTGGCAGTAGAAAACCTAAACAGTACATTTGACCTCTCAGCTTCCCTACCAAATCTAAACATTTCAAGCAGACAACCTAAGAAAATAACAACAATGACAATGAAGAGTTATCTATCCAAAACGGAGATGTATGGATAAACCACTTCTCCAATCTTTTTGGCCCTTTCAGTGCCTTGCAAAAGTATTCATCCCTCTTGGCGTTTTTCCTATTTTGTTGCATTACAACCTGTAATTTAAATGGATTTTTATTTGGATTTCATATAAGCGACATACACAAAATAGTCCAAATTGGTGAAGTGAAATGAAAAAAATAACTTGTTTCAAAAAATTCTACAAAATAAATAACGGAAAAGTTGTGCGTGCATACAGTTGAAGTCGGAAGTTTATATACACTTAGGTTGGAGTCATTAAAACTCGTTTTTCAACCACTCCACAAATGTATTGTTAACAAACTATAGTTTTGCCAAGTCGGTTAGGACATCAACTTTGTGCATGACACAAGTAATCTTTCCAACAATTGTTTACAGAGAGATTATTTCACTTATAATTCACTGTATCACAATTCCAGTGGGTCAGAAGTTTACATACACTAAGTTGATGGTGCCTTTAAACAGCTTGGAAAATTCCAGAAAATGATGTCATGGCTTCTGATAGGCTAATTGACATAATTTGAGTCAATTGGAGGTGTACCTATGGATGTATTTCAAGGCCTACCTTCAAACGTAGTGCCTCTTTGCTTGACATCATGGGAAAATCAAAAGAAATCAGCCAAGATCTCAGAAAAAAAATGTAGACCCCACAAGTCTGGTTCATCCTTGGGAGCAATTTCCAAATGCCTGAAGGTACCACGTTCATCTGTACGAACAATAGTAAGCAAGTATAAACACCATGGGACCACGCAGCCATCATACCGCTCAGGAAGGAGACGCGTTCTGTCTCCTAGAGATGAACGTACTTTGGTGCGAAAAGTGCAAATCAATCCCAGACCAACAGCAAAGGACCTTGTGAAGATGCTGGAGGAAACATTTACAAAAGTATCTATATCCACAGTAAAACGAGTCCTATATCGACATAACCTGAAAGGCCGCTCAGCAAGGAAGAAGCCACTGCTCCAGAACCTCCATTAAAAAGCCAGACTACGGTTTGCAACTGCACATGGGGACAAAGATCGTACTTTTTGGAAATGTCCTCTGGTCTGATGAAACAAAAATAGAACTGTTTGGCCATAATGACCATCGTTATGTTTGGAGGAAAAAGGGGGTCGCTTGCAAGCCGAAGAACACCATCCCAACCGTGAAGCACGGGGGTGGCAGCATTATGCTGTGGGGGTGCTTTGCTGCAGGAGGGACTGCTGCACTTCACAAAATAGATGGCATCATGAGGAAGGACAATTATGTGGATATATTGAAGCAACATCAGTCAGGAAGTTAATGCTTGGTTGCAAATGGGTCTTCCAAATGGACAATGACCCCAAGCATACTTCCAAAGTTGTGGCAAAATGGCTTAAGGACAACAAAGTCAAGGTATTGGAGTGGCCATCACAAAGCCCTGACCTCAATCCTGTAGAAAATCTGTGGGCAGAACTGAAAAAGCGTGTGCGAGCAAGGAGGCCTACAAACCTGACTCAGTTACACCAGCTCTGTCAGGAGGAATGGGCCAAAATTCATCCAACTTATTGTGGGAACCTAGTGGAAGGCTACCCGAAACGTTTGACCCAAGTTAAACAATTTAAAGGCAATGCTACCAAATACTAATTGAGTAAACTTCTGACCCACTGGGAATGTGATGAAATAAATAAAAGCTGAAATAGATCATTCTCTCTACTATTATTCTGACATTTCACATTCTTAAAATAAAGTGTTGATCCTAACTGACCTAAGACAGGGCATTTTTACTAGGATTAAATGTCAGGAATTGTAAAAAAACTGAGTTGAAATGTATTTGGCTAAGGTGTATGTAAACTTCCGACTTCAACTGTAGGTAGATACCCGCTAATTATCAAAATCCAGAAAAGAGCCGTTAAATTCTACAACCACCTAAAAGGAAGCGATTCCCAAACTTCCATAACAAAGCCATCACCTACAGAGAAATTAACCTGGAGAAGAGCCCCCTAAGCAAGCTGGTCCTGGTGCTCTGCTCACAAACAGACCCCACAGAGCCCCAGGACAGCAACACAATTAGACCTAACCAAATCATGAGAAAACAAAAAGAGAATTACTTGACACATTGTAAAGAATTAACAAAAAAACTGAGCAAACTAGAATGCTCATTGGCCCTAAACAGACAGTACACAGTGGCAGAATACCTGACTACTGTGACTGACCCAAAATCAAGGAAATCTATGACTTTGTACAGACTCAGTGAGCATAGCCTTGCACTTCCTAACTTCCTGCCAAATGTATGACCCTATTAGAGACACATATTTCCCTCAGATTACACAGACCCACAAAGAATTAGAAAACAAATCCAATTTGGATAAACTCCCATTTCTATTGGGTGAAATACCACAGTGTGCAATCACAGCAGAAAGATTGGTGACCTGTTGTCACAAGACAAGTGCAACCAGTGAAGAACAAACACCATTGTAAATACAACCTATATTTGTGTTGATTTATTTTCCCTTTTGTACTTGAACTATTTGCACATCATTACAACACTGTATATAGACATAATATGACACTTGAAATGTATTTATTCTTTTGGAACTTTTGTGAGTGTAATGTTTACTGTTAATTTTTTATTATCGCGAGAGAGAGAGAGAGACACACACACACAGAAAGAGACACACAGAGAGAGACACACACGGCTCTTACCACACACAGAAGCCACTGGAACACCGACCGGGCTTGTGTTTTGGAGAACACATCCTGACCAAACTTGATGCACACTAGGGCCTCCAGGAAGGCTATGGCCCTGTGAGTTAGATAAGGACATTTACATTTTACATTTTAGTCATTTTAGCAGACGCTCTTATCCAGAGCAACTTACAGTTAGTGAATACATATTTTTTTATACTGGCCCCCCGTGGGAATTGAACCCACAACCCTGGCGTTGCAAACGCCATGCTCTATCAACTACATCCCTGCCGGCCATTCCCTCCCCTACCCTGGACGACGCTGGGCCAATTGTGCGCCACCCATGAGTCTCCCGGTCGCGGCCGGCTGCGACAGAGCCTAGATTCGAACCAGGATCTCTAGTGGCACAGTTAGCACTGTGATGCAGTGCCTTAGACCACTGCGCCACTCAGGAGGACTATTGTTAACGGACACTCACCACCAAACATTCACCTCTAACAATAATTGCATTTTACAACAAGCATTATCTATAGCAAAATATATGTTTTTTTTGTTAATGGCACTATGTTAAAATGCACACACAGTCACAGAAAATAAATACATTTCCTCTTTAATTCTAGTCACCAGACTGCAGAGGGTACTTAGAGTTTCTAATATTGAAGGGGTGAAGCCAGGGGCATATAAGGGCCTCATTGTTTTCTATTTAATAGTGAGAGAGCAAGTCTGGTCACCATGGTTACCAGAGCCTAGTCAGGGCAATCACAAGCTTAGGACTGCGATGAGGACAGCATCTTTACAATATTTTGAATAAAACTGTACGTGAGCCAATTTCCCATCCACAGCACTTCTGAGACGTTTGTCAATGACGTGGTCGCAACATTAGAAATGTCCACTAGAGGATCCAGACGAGACTCACCCAAACATCCAACATTGTGTTCCCACTCTTTTGCACTGTGTGTCTGTCAGATACGCATAATACTGTCTGAAAGAACAGGAAGACGAACATTAGATACAGTTTATCTACAGCCATCACAAAAACGACTGTCAAATCATTACGATAAAAAGAAAGGAGGTTTACAGTAATCATTCAAAACTTATTTCAACTCAATTCCATATGATAAGAGACTGCACATGTCTGTCATAACTCCCTTGTGCCTCTATAATGTAGAACACACGTGTGGAGTGGCGTGGTGGAGGGGCTCCCTTACCGTACAGTAGGTGCTGTGATGATTCCGAGGAGGAGGATCCGGCACCAGCTGAGAGCGTGAGACGCCTGGAACACGAAGATGTGCTTCAAGAAGAATGTGTTCAACTCAGTCAGCTGTTTAGAGGAAAGGAGGACAGACAGGAAGTAAAGTAGTCCAGCAACATGTATATTAAAATCATCACTGCACACAGCTTAGATACCATAAAATCTACCCCATAATCTTCAGGTATGTAGTAGGTCACCGTCAATAAGACAAGATCATAGAAAACATATCAACTGTTCCATTTGTTTTCCCAAATGACTTATAAGTCAATATACACAGAGTAATGACATACATGGATTCTGACTTCTAACCCTGACACTAAATACTAATGTTTCATTTCCAGGTCAGAGGTCACCTGCCAGAGGATCATAAAGAGGTAGATCCCAGCCACCCTCTGGAAGGAGGACTTGGGGTCTAACCAGCGTACGTAGGTCCAGCTGGCTGGGGTGAACTGGAGCACAACCCGCTTCAGCTTCCCTGTGGTCGTATGGATGTCTCTGAAGACACATCATAGATACAGATATACAGGGAAAGGTACACTTACACACTGGGAAGTAACACCGATGAGTGTTCAGATACAGTTAGGCAAACAAGGTTAAACACACAGATACAGGCATAAAGAGAATTACATTCATACGCTGGGTGTACAAAGCATGCCTTTCCATTACATAGACTGACCAGGTGAATCCAGGTGAAAGCTATGATCCCTTATTGATGTCACTTGTTAAATCCATTTCAAATCAGTGTAGATAAAGGGGAGGAAACTGGTTAAAGAAGGATTTTTAAGGCTTGAGACAATTGAGATATGGATTGTGTATGTGTGCCATTCAGAGGGTGAATGGGCAAGACAAAATATTTAAGTGCCTTTGAACGGGTTATGGTAGTAGGTGCCAGGCACACCGGTTTGAGTGTTTCAAGAACTGCAAAGCTGCTGGGTTTTTCACGCTCAACAGTTTCCTGTGTGTATCATGAATGGTCCACCACCCAAAGGACATCCAGCCAACTTGACACCTGTGGGAAGCATTGGAGTCAACATGGGCCAGCATCCCTGTGGAATGCTTGACACCTTGTAGAGTCCATGCCCCGACGAATTTAGGCTGTTCTTAGGGTAAAAGGGGGGGCAACTCAATATTAAGGTGTTCCTTATGTTTTGTACACTCAGTGTAAATGAGAAAGCACACATGCACTTAATTAGAGCAGGCAGAAATTCAGTAGAATAATGTAGTTTAATTGGGACTGGTTAACTGTATTGTGCCATCTGTCATGAGACTACAGGAGAAGGGAGGAATCCAATAGGAGGAGAACTCACTTGATGCTGGCCCATTGGTAGGTGCGCATCTCCAGGAAGCGACACACAGTCATGCCCAGCCAGATGCCTCCTCCATTACACAGCAGGATGTCCAGGATCACCTGGTCCCACCAGCACTCAGCAAAGTTAGGCAGCAGGTGCATGAAGAACAGCTGAGGGAGGGAGAGACAGAAAGAGACAGACAGACAGACAGACAGACAGACAGAGAGAGAGACAGAGACAGACAGAGAGAGACAGACAGACAGACAGACAGACAGCGAGAGAGACAGACAGACAGACAGCGAGTGAGACAGACAGACAGAGACAGACAGACAGCGAGAGAGAGAGACAGACAGACAGCGAGAGAGAGAGACAGATAGACAGACAACGAGAGAGAGAAACAGATAGACAGCGAGAGAGAGAGACAGCGAGAGAGAGAGACAGACAGACAGAGACAGACAGACAGACAGACAGACAGAGAGACAGACAGAGAGAGAGACAGACAGACAGACAGAGAGACAGACAGACAGACAGCGAGTGAGACAGACAGACAGTGAGTGAGACAGACAGACAGCGAGAGAGACAGACAGACAGCGAGAGAGACAGACAGACAGCGAGAGAGACAGACAGACAGCGAGAGAGACAGACAGACAGACAGACAGACAGACAGACAGACAGACAGACAGACAGACAGACAGACAGACAGCGAGAGAGAGAGAGAGGTGAATGAGGAGCTGACATTTGACGGAGCGCACATCCAATGGAATGATTCGGAACATCTGTTGTTGGAAATTGAGCAGGACTTCACAAAGACACATTGTGTGTCCAAAAAGGCACCCTATTCCCTATATAGTGCACCACTTTTGAGGGTCCATATGGTTCTGGTCAAAATTAGTGCACTGTATAGAGAATAGGGTGCCATTTGGGATGCAGCCTTTATTTACCTCAGTGAGCTCCCAGGTGATGCTGATGGTCCAGCAGAGGCCATAGCTGCGGATGAGCAGGGCCTTCATGGCCCAGCCTGCGAAATGCCCAAATGCAAAGATGTCAAAGTGGCTCAGGATCCGATCCCAGGTTATCACGTGGCAGTTCACTGCATATTCCTACAGGGGGAGAAAGGACAGGTAAGACATGGACACAAAAGAGGCAGATAAGACATAACAAGACAGTGGTGGATCAGCAGTATGGTGAGTCATGATGATGCTAGCCTCCGGACACCCAGGTTTCGCTCACGTATAGTTGAGTCACGAGATTTGGGAGGAAGGCCTCACGAGACAATGGGTAAGTTTACATGCACACAATAATACGCTTATTGTGAATACTCTAATTTATATAATAGTTCAATTAAAACGTTTACATGCTTTGCAAGAAGAACCGATTTCCCTATTAATCCTGTTTACATGGACACATCTGAAATCAGGCTACCTGATGGGACCTTGATAAATGCAGAAAATCGCCAATCAATATAAGCTTCTACCACAGCGACTATGTTATTTTTGGGACGCCTATTTGATTCTGAGTTCGGACATATAAAGTTTGTATGTGAAAACTATTTCTAAGATGCATACTTTCAGTTTGTCCGAACTCACTTCACTTGCGCAAAAGAGGGAGGCTCGCGCTGCGGGTGTTAGCACATGCGCAGATCAAATACACAGCTGAAACTCAGATGAACGTATTTACATGTCCTAATACTTCAAAAGATTGCTCAATAATCCAGGTGTTTCAATCGGCGTATGTTTACTTCGATTATGACTTTACGCCAATGAAGATAAACAGAGTAACATTTTTAAATTACTAATGCCATACTCAGCCTACTGCCATAATCAGTTTAATATCAAATAATTAGTGTACATGTAAACGTGTTCTTCATGCAATATCAATGTTCACAAGGCTTTAGGTGTAAGAGGAATTTCATTGGCTTTATTTTACAGCTTTTGCATGATGAGATCAGTAACCCTATAAATTGTCAATATGTAACAATGCCAGTTTAACTAAAATATTTGTGATACTTACACATGGCAACAGCATCCAGGGAAGGCTGATGCCAATCGTTTAACCCAGTGTTGAATAATCCTATAGGCTCAGTGGTAGCTCTGTCCTCAATGTCTTAAAGTTCACCACCTTACAGAAAGGTTCTATTACCTCCCGCCAGGGGCGCGACTTTCACTGGGGACATGTCCCCCCCCACAGTTTTATCATTGGAATGTGATACAAAACGAGGCAACGGTGTGCTTTAGGACCATGCAGACGCCTCCAAGCGGTCGGGTAGGCTGTTTGGAGTGTTTTATCCGACTGGATAAAAAAAAATATTATATATATATATATATATATATATATATATATATATATATATATATATATATATATATAATAATAATAATAATAATAATAATAATAATGTCCCCCCCACTTCTAAAACCAAAGTTGCACCCCTGCCTCCCTCAAATTTCGTTGGATTATATTACCACACAGAGGGGATTGGAGAGCTTTCCAAACTCAAAACCTGATCGCTTCATTACATTTACATTTTACATTTTAGTCATTTAGCAGACGCTCTTATCCAGAGCGACTTACAGTTAGTGAATATATATATATATTTTTTTATACTGGCCCCCCGTGGGAATCGAACCCACAACCCTGGCGTCGCAAACGCCATGCTCTATCAACTGGGCTACATCCCTGCCGGCCATTCCCTCCCCTACCCTGGACGACGCTGGGCCAATTGTGCGCCGCCCATGAGTCTCCCGGTCGCGGCCGGCTGCGACAGAGCCTGGATTCGAACCAGGATCTCTAGTGGCACAGCTAGCACTGCGATGCAGTGCCTTAGACCACTGCGCCACTCAGGAGACTTCATCAGAACTTAGCCTACCTTTTCATTGTAAAAACATGGCATGGCCCTAAAGGATGGATGTAATAGGATAAATGCTAGGAGGAGTGGAGGGAGAGTCAAGGATCATCTTGAATACAAGCTCCAGGGTTGAGTTTCCCCAAAGTACAGATCTAGGAACAGCTGCCCCTCCCCCAACCATAACCTTAATCATTAGTTGGAAAAATTCAAAACTGACCCAAGATCAGCATGGTAGGGGCAACTACACCTGAAATGGTGTCTGGCATGAGGTGAATACATTTTTACATTTTACACATTTAGACTTACAGGAGCAATTAGGGTTAAGTGCCTTGCTCAAGGGCACATCGACAGATTTTTCACCTAGTCGGCTCGGGATTAGAACCAGCGACCTTTTGGTTACTGGCACAACGCTCTTAACCACTAAGCTACCTGCCGCCCCATACTGTATACTGTAGCATATTGAGATAAAAATGACTCACCATGACATCAGCCTCACGGGTAGCGTAGCGCAGGTTGGGGTCCACCCAGTACATGAGTCTCTTCACCTGGGCCCAGTTCAGGAAGATGAGGATGACCAGGAACAGGAAGTACAGAACACTCAGACCTGACAACAACAGGAAAGAACCAATCAGAGTTCCATGGACATGGTTCCATAGAGGAGTTCCCCTGATGATGACATGTTGTACTTTGCAGTAGGCCTACTCACCAAATACCATGCGCCAAATCGCAGGATGTGGTCTGGTGAATGGACCTGAAGTGGTTAAATTAAATACTGCATTTACACACTTATCTACCATTATCAGAGTGGATCTACCAAAACCCTCATATACTGCACTTCCAAAGTTAACGTAGCATATACTGCAAACAGTGGGTATCCCATTCACTTGTACAGTCAAAACCATGTCATGCTGCAAGAGGCCATGCTGAAGACTAGTTTTGAATCTTTAAGACCTGAACATCTATTAAGTGGCCAATAATCTACACTAGAACAACATTCCTCCCACCCACCCCATGCAGACACCCTTTTTACCAGGTGCTGGGCTATTGTCAAGTACAAGGCAGTGACTGAGTGAGTACCATTGGGGAAGGCCAGGACACTGATGACGAGGAAGAAGGAGACAATCAACAGGAGACCCACTCGAAGGTTGTTGTCAGCATCTGCATCCTCCCTGGCAGAGAGAGCAGGGTTTGATATCAAAAAGCATTGGCTGAGATATGCAATATGTACATCATTCTCAGAGGATAAAGTGAGGTTTACTATGATACAGTCAACCTAAAATGTGACATTTAAAAAAGTTTGCTTGATTTTTGTATTTATTACAATAAGGAACATTAAAAATGTCTAAACTTCTGTAGTTCAATTATACAATTGAGTTTACACTTGGGTTAGATTACTAGGCCAAGTTATCACAACCACTAGGTCTACTTGCTGATCAAATGAGCCGTCTACTCTGTACTGTCATTGGGTTACCTGGAAAATACGAAGTACATCAAACTAGCCACTGTGAACGTCAAGAGAGTGAGAGTGTGAGGCTTGTAGAAAAAGTCGATACTGATGTCCTCCACTTGTTGCTCGTTAATCATCCGAAAGTGTAACATGTAATTCACATCATCCTTGCTTAATGTCCGGGACCCCAAAGCAGGTGCCATGGCGAGGGCTAAGGAGTTTCTTTTTTAAAAAAGTATCTGTATCAGCACTTCCAGACAGGACAGGTTAGGATGCCTGTAAATACATTGCTGAGTACTGGGAACAACAAGGGCAGAGAGAGGACTGAGCAAACCTGACAACGGCGCAACCAACTCAACTAAATACAGGGGTGTAGTGGGAATACACATTCCAATACCAGCACTCCCAATTCATTCAATGCCATTTTTCTTCAGAAAGAGTTTTATATTTTATTATTTTTAACATCAGAAATTCCCGATGAAAGGCAAAATAAGTTTTTTTAATCGGTCCTTCATTAGGTTGTTTTAGTTTGAGCTGGCTCATTCCCCTGCTTCTTTTCCTATTTTGGTACAGCTAAAATAGGGACACTTCCGTAATCCTTCGGTGAGAGTGCACACGTGAGTAGATTGACATTGGCGCTATCTACTTGTTTTTACGCTTGTTCAGAGGACATGTTCATGTTTTGACCCATATTTTTCTAAGTTATTGCATGATGTCATCCATTTTGTACTTGCAAAAACCATTTTGTTTCTATCCGCTTGCTGGCTACCCCGTATGATTGCTCTATGCAAGCTAGCTAGCTAGCTAGCCAGCCATTGCTGGTTCAATGCACCTTATTTAGCCAGAAGATCCGACCTGCTTGCTTACAGCTGCACTAGGGTCGGGCAACATTCATGTGTATATTAAGACACTGCGGAACCAGCCCGAGATATGGCTCGGTAAACATACCTCAATCAGGGATGACACATGTGTTTTATTTCGAATTGTCCCATTATCCCAACTGTTACACCGAGAAGTTTGAACAACTGTTTGTTTTTCCGGAAAACTGTCCTTTCATCCTCATACTAGGTAGAAAAAAACCACAGCAGCTATTTTGGAATGGCAGTGTCAGCCAATCAGCTCCTTTGTTGTTCAACACCACATGCCATCCCATAATGGCTGCTACTGCTAGCTAGAATGAGGACTAAAATGGCAGTTTACTTAAAGTGGAACTGACTGCGTTTTAACTATAGACATGAAACAAACAATCATAATATCAGTAAAAAATATGAAATTCCCAGTTTATGCTTCAAAACCAACTTCATAAGAGGTTTTAAAAATAGGATGCAGTTCAATGCATGATGAATATAGTTAACCAATACATTTCTTGGTAGCCCCCAAAAATATTGCTATCAGGTTGTAAATCACAGCTGGCCAGGTACATTGTTGGCTGCTTCCACCCATTCCAGATGCACTGTTTCAGTTTAAATTACTCAATATTTTGAACAAAAACAGACGACTGTGACTAAGGCTGGGAATGTCAATACAATCAAACTAGCAAGGGCAATGATCACAAGTCAGTCATAACGTGGCTAATAGGCCCGTGGGCTGATTAGGACACACAGGTGAGTATAAATGAGTCGACAGTTGAGTCATTACATTTTACATTTTAGTCATTTAGCAGACGCTCTTATCCAGAGTGACTTACAGTTAGTGAGTGCATACATTTTCATACTGGCCCCCCGTGGGAAACGAACCCACAACCCTGGCGTTGCAAGCGCCATGCTCTACCAACTGAGCTACAGGGGACCTGTTTCATCTAGTTTATGAAATTACAGCCTGATGCGCTCGCATCGGTGAATTCAACTTATATTGCGCTGCTTTTGTGTGTCCCGTTTGCAGCGGAGGGAAAGTGTACAGACACATGTCACATTCCTAGCTAGGCAACTAAAATGTTGCAGTCTGGCTTCGGTTTTTAAAGCTTGACAATGAATAACCAAAAAACTAAACCTGCAACAAAACGCCATGCAAAGGAGAAACATGTAGGCCTATTACAGCAACATTTGATCAGTATCCTAGGCTGGCTACTCAACTATAATACATTTTGAGTATGCCATTCTGCATTCAACCGCACCGGTGATCCATGTAGTGCAAAAAAAATGAAAAACATGTTTTAAGTTTAAATGTTACAACAAACCGATAGCTACGTTTTTGTTATTTTTATTTATTAAATACTTTTTGATTAGGGTCACAGCATATTATGCACATCTGCAAGCATAGCAGCAAAGGCTGGACAAAAATTATTTATCTCCTTTTGTTTTAATATGTTAATGCTATATACAGCATCCTATGTACATAAGTGGACACTATAAAGAGCCATATTTTTTCTAATAAAACAATGGCCAGTTTGGGTCGCAGTTGCACGTTTTTTTTGTAAAAACAAATAGGCTATGTCTGGCCCATGAATTTGTGCGCTGATTTACTTTGACACCCCTGGGCTGGCGTATCTATTTATGTAGCTAGCTATTTATTTTAATTTTTATTTAGCAAGCTAAAAACACAGAGCCTAACGTTATCTAGCTAGCTGCTGGGAGGATGTCATGTCATTGGAGGAGTGTGTGAGTGACTGACTTTTTCCCCTCGTATCATTTTCCGGTGTTTACAGCTAGAGATGCAGGTGTCATTTGGTTAGCTAGCAAGAAAAATAATTACTATGCTGAACTTGAACGACTGTTATCCACAGTTAGCATATTTCTTAGTTGTCAATCAAATGTATTTGGCGTCTATCAAATGGGTGGGCAGGCAAGTTCCCATTCAATTGTCAAAACGTGGGTTGGGACAAGCATGCATTGGCAGGCAAGCTGCAAAAGGAGGAGCAGGCTGCTATTCCCCATCGTTTCAGTGCAATTTTAATGGCCAACTAGCTTAAAGTTTGAGAGGGTTTATCTAATGTTCCCTAATTAGATTTTAGCTTATCTCGCTATGGCTAGCATTAGTTGTTGATCTTGTTGTTGATATGCATAGGAAACTGAGGGAGAGAGAGCCTACCTTTTCATGGTTGTTTGATCAATAAGACTGTGAAGTTCCCAAATGTAAGAGGACTCTGGTGGTATTTAAATACACTATATATACAAAAGTGTGCGGACACGCCTTCAAATTAGTGGATTAGGCTATTTCAGCCACACCCGTTGCTGACAGGTGTATAAAATCGAGCACACAGCCATGCAATCTCCATAGACAAACATTGGCAGTAGAATGGCCTTAATGAAGAGCTCAGTGACTTTCACTGTGGCACCGTCATAGGATGCCACCTTTCCAACAAGTCAGTTGGTAAAATTTCTGCCCTGCTAGAGCTACCCCGGTAAACTGTAAGTGCTGTTATTGTGAAGTGGAAACGTCTAGGAGCGACACCGGCTCAGCTGCGAAGTGGTAGGCCACACAAGCGCACAGAACGGGGCTGCCGGGTGCTGAAGCGCATAGCAACACTCACTATCGAGCTCCAAACTGCATCTGGAAGCAACGTCAGCACAAGAACTGTTCGCCGGGAGATTCATGAAATGGATTTCCATGGCCGAGCAGCCGCACACAAGCGTAAAATCACCATGCGCAATGCCAGGCGTCAGCTGGAGTGGTGTAAAGCTCGCTGCCATTGGACTCTGGAGCAGTGGAAATGCGTTCTCTGTAGGGATGAATCACCACCTGGCAGTCCAATGGACAAATCTGGGTTTGGCGGATGCCAGGAGAACGCTACCTGCCCAAATGCATAGTGCCAACTGTAAAGTTTGGTGGAGGAGGAATAGTGGTCTGGGGCTGTTTTTCATGGTTCAGGCTAGTCCCCTTAGTTCCAGTGAAGGGAAATCTAAATGCTACAGCATACAATGACATTCTAGATGATTCTGTGCTCCCAACTTTGTGGCAACAGTTTGGGGAAGGCCCTTTCCTGTTTCAGCATGACAATGCCCCCGTGCATAAAGCGAGGTCCATGCAGAAATGGTTTGTCGAGATCGGTGTGGAAGAACTTGACTGGCTTGCACAGAGCCCTGACCTCAACCCCATCTAACACCTTTGGGATGAATTGGAACGCCGACTGCGAGCCAGGCTTAATCGCCCATAATCAGTGCCCGACCTCACTAATGCTTGTGGCTGAATGGAAGCAAGTCTCAGCAGCAATGTTCCAACATCTAGTGGAAAGCCTTCCCAGAAGAGTGGAGGCTGTTATAGCAGCAAAGGGGGGACCAACTCCATATTAATGCCCATGATTTTGGAATGAGATGTTCGACGAGCATGTGTCCACATACTTTTGGTCATGTAGTGTATTTGCAGAAATCCATTCAGGTATATTTTGTAGCTTTTGGCGAATGCATTCTAATGATCTAAAGTCGCGCTGTTGCCTGTAAACACACAGTCCAGGACAAAGTGAATGATGGCAGGCCCGTGTGGCAAATGGCTTATTTGCATGTAGGCCTACTGTAGCTCTGATTGGCTATGGCACAACGGTCTGCGTAGACTCTGGTCCTGGACAAGACAGATGTTTATTTACATTTTACATTACATTTTAGTCATTTAGCAGACGCTCTTATCCAGAGCGACTTACAGTTAGTGAGCGCATACATTATTTTTATTTTTTCATCATTTACTGCAGTGTCTATTAATTGTCCAAACGCACAGCCGCTTTCCCACTCTATATTGCTCTAGAATTTTCACAAATGCCTTACTATAGGTAATTCCCAAACATTCAATGAATTTATGAAAACGTGAGAATGACCATTTCTAAGTGCTCGCTTGTCAGAAAATGTAAAAAAAGGTGTCATATTCTTCCAGGGGGTTTATATGAACAGATTTTAATAAGATTCCATGTTGCTAAAATGCTGTCAGATCCACTTTAACTAGCAGTCGTTCAATCTTCTCTGTGTAACAGTTGGGATAATTCGGATTACTACTCATTTCTCATCCCTGGATTGAGGTATGTTTACCGAGCCATATCTCACGCCGGCTCCGCAGTGTCTTAATATACACAGGGAATGCTGTCCGACCCTAGTGCAGCTGTAAGCAAGTGGGTCGGATCTGCTGGCTAGCCCCTCATTCATTTTTATAATCTATTGGTTGCTTCTCTACTCAACAACAACAATCTCCATCATTCAAACTCAAATAATAAAAATGAATAGCAGTGGCTAAAGAACTTGTAACTTGCAAGACGGTGTGTTCCAGTTACGTTCAATGTACAGACCCCTTTCTCATGTCACAATGTCCTGTGTTTTCATCACAGATTTCTCCATGGCTTTAACCTGTATCCAGCTTTGTCAGAGATGCACCAGTTTACTGAGGTCAAGGAGTGTGGGTATCATCACCCTTCAGTATTCCACAGATGCCCAGCATTGGCCTGCAGCCCTACGGAATTCTTTCATTGTTCCAGTCTTGCCCTCCGTGCTCCAGAGAAGTCAGAGCCCATGTCAGACGCGACAGAGGTGGAATCTAGGAGTGCGGAGTTACTGTGAATCTCATGCTAAGGTCCAACCGAAACACAGGAATACTGATGAGTTACCTGGGACTGATATGGTGCCATATCAGAATCCTCTCTCTCATCAACTCAGAGATGGAGGGATGCATCTGAAGGAGTGGGAGACAGCTTTAGGTACTAATGCCACCCCTGTACACACACACACACACACACAAACACAGTGGTCATGTCTACCTAATATTTTTGTCCTCTCCAGATTTGGATGATGCCCCAGGCCACTCTGCATTAGAGGAGATCAGTCATGAGGAGGCAGTTCGTATGGACATCCCAGCTGCCCTGCCTCCTGTCTCCATCTCCCTCAAAGACTATGTCAACGGGTCAGAGACACTCAGCAAGCTTGTACAGCTAGGTAGGTTGGGTCCATTTAGGGTTTGTATCTGATGAACCATTACTTCCCCATTGTCTAGTGTACCAGAGCAATAGATGTCATGTATATCTATGTCTCTGGATCATATTCACTAGGCACCAAACTGAAGCAAATGGACTGAAATGGGGAGGGATTACCTGAACTTGCCCAAAAAGAAACACTTGTTTTCGATTTCCACTGCAGAGCATTTTGATACAATGTGCACTAATGAATGTGACTCTGGTGTTAACCCTTCGGTTCCCTCTTCAGGTGTTCAGCTATGGAAACTGGAGCAGAGGCCGAACGTGGGCTCCATGTTGCTGAGGCTAGACTTCCAGACAGACGTGACCCCACGGCTGGTCTTCCTGAAGCAGCTTGGAGTGGAGGACTCTCGCCTGGGCCATCTGATCAGCCACAACCCCTTCATCCTCACAGAGAGCCTGGAGAACCTGCAGGCCAGGTACAAGAGTTGAGGGGATGGTTTTCGTATTGGCAGGTTGCGTTTGCTACAGTCAGCAACACATAGGGTTGACTATCTTAGGGACAGAGAGTACACTTGGTGTTTCCAACTGATATACCTATAGCTGCAGACAAGTTTGATCTCTTGTCTGTCAGCTTCAGTTCTTATAGGACTATGACAGGTGATACAAATAATATGTAGTATTAAAATGAGATAATAATCTCTCTTTTTCACATTAGGGTGGCTTATCTTAGGTCCAAGAAGTTCAGCGCCGAGTCTGTGGCCTCCATGGTGTCCAGAGCTCCGTACCTGTTGAACTTCAGTGTGAAGAGGATGGACAACCGCCTTGGATTCTACCAACAGCAGTTAGGCCTTAGTGCTCAGAAGGTCAGGTCTGAATTCAGTAAACAAGTCAATGAAAAAGTCGTGTAAGGATTGACCCAAGACAACAGCAATTGGTCACATTGTTATGTCCCACTAAATGTGTCATAGAACATTATTCACACCCCAAATTACATACAGTAAGATAATGCAAAATATTATTTTACCCATACATGCGTATCTTTCAGACACGGGATGTTGTGGCTCGCCTTCCCAGACTTTTGTGTGGGAGTTTGGAGCCAGTTAAGGAGAATCTTAAGGTATGAAAACAAACAAACACTATCAAACCTTAACTGTGATATGTCTTAATTCTTGGAGAGAAAAATAGGTTAAATTCTCAGAATCCATCTTTTTCATCCTAGATATGCAAACTGGAGATGGGGTTTCGTGAAAATGAGCTCCAGCACATTGTCACTGTAATCCCCAAAGTTCTTACAGCTAACAAGAGGAAACTGACCCAGATATTTGACTACATCCACAACACCATGAACATACCCCATGACCTGATTGTAAAGTTCCCACAGGTAAGCTATAAACTACCAGTCCTGAATCATCCATCTTTGGATAGTGGATACTCGCAGATAATGCGTTATCTGGATATGTTAGTGTTTACCTAGCCCAATAATTTACTCCTTATAGTTCATGTTCTGTTTAAAGGCGAATTGGCTCTGGAAGCCAAAACAGCCAAATACTCCATCTAAACATGAATCGATTCTCAATTGCGGTACAGTTCTAGAAACATAAAGCCCTCTACTTTCATATCACATCAAAATAATGTAACTTACTGTACACTGTTTTAACACAGTTGCATCCAACAGTATTTTTCAGTGACAACACGTTTGTGGCGTCCGTCTTCCATTTACACACAGGTGTTTGGAGACGCAGATAGCCAATTAGCACAGCTAGTCCACTCTGTCTTCTGTAAACAAGCGCTGTAACATGGAAATATGGCTGTGTGGGAACACTAACCTTTATAATGGTGTGTAGTAATTAACCTTAGTTTTTTTATTTTTATTATTTCTCACTGATATGAAAGATACGTTCCTTATGTTTCCAAAACCATACCTACAAGTGATGCATGTTCACGTTTAGAGAAACGTCCGGACTATTAACAAAACTCCAAAAATGGGGTGGGGTAGTATTTACCAAGTGATGGATCAGGAACCACTTATGGGTCACGGTGGGTAACCCCTGCTGGGTCATAGCCAAAGACATTTGGTTTTGTTGAGCTGATGGGACATAGTACATTACCAATGAATTGTCTTTAGACATGTCACAGATTCAGTTCGACTTGCTATCACCTATTGTCTGACAGGTTATCTGTCCTCTCTACAGGTCCTGAATGCAAAGTACCTTCGTATCAAAGAAAGACACCTGTTCCTGCAATACCTGGATAAGGCTCAGTACGACCCTGCAAAGCCTAACTACATCTCTCTGGACAAGCTAGTCTCCCTGCCAGATGAGGCCTTCTGCACTGAAGTGGCATCAGCCACACTAAAGGACTTTGAACTGTTTCAGAAGACAATGTAATTGTTAAAACACTACAGTTGTTGTATATGTGTGTTATTATCTGAATAAAGATGTTGAAGATACTCTACAATTGAATCTTGCTGTTTACTATTTAACTGTTGTTGAATGAGCCCATGAGCATGTGTGTACCAAGATGTACCAGAACAGAGCCACATTTCTGACACATTGTTGAGATTTTGGATGAAACTGAACATTTGATAAATGTAGCTAGCTTTCTTCATAAGGAGTAACATGTAATCATATACATTAGATAAATGGGAAAATATTGAGGATAATTTCAATTCGTGTGATAATTAAATGTTTCAATTTTGTGCAGAGTTGCGCAACCGCGGATGACCTCTTTCTCAGGACGTCATTTTACCCACAATTCCATTCAAACTTTTCTTTTTAGACACAAAACAACATGGCGTCGAGGGCACCAGGTAAAAAAAATAATCACCCGTCTTTTAAGCATTTTTTTTAGTCTTAAATCGAGATGATACATTTCATATATTGATGAATAAAGGTAATATTGATTTGTGAAAACATCAGAAGACGATGCAGAGTGTTTTGGTGTGTTCAAATCCATGTTTTTAAGGACTCTTTCTGGTGTCCTCTGAGTGTCCCCGCGGAAAGCAAGAAGGATTTTGTTAGCTAGCTATGGCAAATCAAGGAAAGCTCAGTGGTTTGTGCCAGTGACATATTATGCTTTTAAATTAAATGTATGCCAGTTGGCTAATGGATAGGTAAAACAGTACTATAACAGTTAGTTATAATAATCTTCAATGTTCTGATCAACCTTCAAACGCCACGCCAGTGCATCTTGATGATGAATTAACAGCATCTAACGTTAGCAGTTCCCACCTAGCTAGTAATCTGTAGATTATGTAATGTTATCTACTAGCAATCTATCCACTTACCCAGCACAAATGTAATGTTTGCAGTTGGAGTGCACTCCTTGGTTCGCCCAAATAATACTACTGTGAAACCCTCCCTCCAGTCCCTACTTCTGTAATTCACTCAATTCTAGTGGATCCACTCCAGCATCTTGGATGAATGGATAATATGTTTAGGTGTCTCGTTGCTTTTGTACTATAGTGATTGCAACTGGATTTTTAACTGTTTTAGTATACGAAATCTTGTTGACAAGTAAATTTACTTCTGGTCTCCCCCACAGCAGCTACCGGCAGACTCCTGGTCAGCTTCCGTAAATGGTACTACAATGCCGCCGGATTCAATAAAATTGGTAACAGTCTTTTTGTTGGTTTGTTTTTCTATTTGGGGCCACCTGTAATTAATTCACTCAGTCTTAAACATCTATAAACTTCAGTTAGATCTCGCCTTGACACTTTGTGGATATTTTTGGTTCCAGGTCTGTTGCGTGATGACACGATCCATGAGGATGGCGATGTGAAAGAGGCCCTGCGGAGGCTCCCAGAGAAAGTGTACAACGACAGGATGTTCAGGCTCAAGAGAGCCCTGGATCTCTCCATGAAGCAGGCGGTTCTCCCCAAGGAACAGTGGACTCAATATGAGGAGGTACAGCAGACCTGGGCTCAAATGTCATTTGAAATCATGTCAAATACTTTGTGATTGATAGACCTTGCCTGGTTTAATGGACCAATAAAATGGTCCCAAAACTGCAAACCCCACTCATCTGGCACTCCAGACAGGCTAGAGCAAACACTAAAAGTATTTGAAAGAATTCAAATTGTATTTGAACCCAGGTCTGAGGTACAGTGCATATAGTCTCACACACAAGAGTTTGTACAGGAATGGCTTTGAGATGCCACTGGGAAAATTGAAGATATGTCAGAAGTTTCATAGCAGTTGATGTTATAGTGCAGGGGTATTCAACTCTTACTCTATGAGGCCTGGAGCCTGCTGGTTTTCTGTTCTACCTGATAATTAATTGCACCCACCTGGTCCCAGGTCTAAATCAGTCCCTGATTAGAAGGGAACAATTAAAAAATGCAAGGTCCAGAGTTGAGTTTGAGGGTTATAGTGTAACAATGGAATGAATGGCAAAGTCTAGCCTCTCAGAGGCTAAGGTGGAGATATTGTTACCATATTGATAGGGCTTAACTAATTAAAGAATCTACATGAAGCAAGTAGGAGTAGAGACTACAGGTTGGATTGGAATTGGGCAATAGTTGAGGAGTTGGGAGACGCCTATAAAGCTGTTTAATGTTGAAAATGACATTATGTAGAGTTGGTGGAAGAAAGTCGACAGAACTAATGTTTTGTTTCTGTTTGACCTTTTTCCGTAGGACGTACATTACCTGGAGCCTTACCTGAAAGAGGTCATCCGTGAGAGGAAAGAGGTTGAGGAGTGGTCGAAGAAATGAGATGGCTCTGGAGGGCTGATGTTCCTTCTCTTTGGTCTGGTGTATGGTTGTCCTCTGTTGTAATATTTAAAATGAAGTGTGCCCTGTGGGAAGACTGCTTATTAAAAATATAAATTTTTGGAAAGGATGTACAAGTGTGGAGAGTTTTTATGCAGCGTTGCAAGATTCTTAGAATAGCTTTTGTGTTAAGATGCGAACCAGGATGTTGATCCCCACAGTAATAGATGTTTATTTATAGTGAATCCACTTTAATCCCACATTTTACACCACTTTTGTCAAATCAAACTTTCGTTCTGTTGTCATAATATACAAGAAATATCTAAACCAGAATATATACAGTACATGTAAATACATGTTTGGTATACAAGTAGTACTATTCTCAACTAAACTCTGCAAAAAAAGGACCCTGTCTTTCAAAGATAATTTGTAAAAATCCAAGTAACTTCACAGATCATTGTAAAGGGTTAAAACACTGTTTCCCATGCTTGTTCAATTAACCATAAACAATTAATGAACATGCACCTGTGGAACGGTTGTTAAGACACTAACAGCTTACAGATGGTAGGCAATTAAGGTCACAGTTATGAAAACTTAGGACACTAAAGAGCACTTTCTACTGACTCTGAAAAACACCAAAAGAAAGATGCCCATGGTCCCTGCTCATCTGTGTGAACGTGCCTTAGGCATGCTGCAAGGAGGCATGAGGACTACAGATGTGGCCAGGGCAATAAATTGCAATGTCCGTACTGTGAGACGCCTAAGACAGCGCTACAGGGAGACAGGACGGACAGCTGATCGTCCTCGCAGTGGCAGACCACGTGTAACAACACCTGCACAGGATCGGTACATCCGAACATCACACCTGCGGGACAAGTACAGGATGGCAACAACAACTGCCCGAGTTACACCAGGAACGCACAATCCCTCCATCAGTGCTCAGACTGTTCGCAATAGGCTGAGAGAGGCTGGACTGAGGGCTTGTAGGCCTGTTGTAAGGCAGGTCCTCACCAGACATCACCGGCAACAACGTCGCCTATGGGCACAAACCCACCGTCGCTGGACCAGACAGGACTGGCAAAAAGTGCTCTTCACTGACGAGTCGCGGTTTTGTCTCACCAGGGGTGATGGTCAGATTTGCGTTTATCGTAGAAGGAATGAGCGTTACACCGAGGCCTGTACTCTGGAGCGGGATCGAGGTGGAGGGTCCGTCATGGTCTGGGGTGGTGTGTCTCAGCATCATCGGACTGAGCTTGTTGTCATTGCAGGCAATCTCAACGCTGTGTGTTACAGGGAAGACATCCTCCTCCCTCATGTGGTACCCTTCCTGCAGGCTCATCCTGACATGACCCTCCAGCATGACAATGCCACCAGCCATACTGCTCGTTCTGTGCGTGATTTCCTGCAAGACAGGAATGTCAGTGTTCTGCCATGGCCAGCGAAGAGCCCGGATCTCAATCCCATTGAGCACGTCTGGGACCTGTTGGATCGGAGGGTGAGGGCTAGGTCCATTCCACCCAGAAATGTCCGGGAACTTGCAGGTACCTTGGTGGAAGAGTGGGGTAACATCTCACAGCAAGAACTGGCAAATCTGGTGCAGTCCATGAGGAGGAGATGCACTGCAGTACTTAATGCAGCTGGTGGCTACACCATATACTGACTGTTACTTTTGATTTTCACCCCCCCTTTGTTTAGGGACTCATTATTCCATTTCTGTTAGTCACATGTCTGTGGAACTTGTTGAGTTTATGTCTCAGTTGTTGAATGTTATGTTCATACAAATATTTACACATGTTAAGTTTGCTGAAAATAAATGCAGTTGACAGTGAGAGGACGTTTATATGTATATAATAAGTACTCAAATAATGCATTACTCTGATTGCCACTCATGAATGGAAGACCAAAATGACAATTTACTCTATACTATAATCGAACGCCAGTTGCATGTCAAAAAAATCCCATGATAATGGGGCAATACTTTTGTCAAATATCTGTTGCAAGTACTTATGAATCAGTACATATGTATATAAAATGAAGTTCCTCAAGGCCTTCATATGCATTCCCAATAGTCTAAAGTTGTCTCCTTCCCTTTATTTGCACTGATTTCTTAGATGTCTTTAGATCAGTGGAAATGTAAGTGTGGCAAGCCACTATTGACGATTGAGAAATATGAACCCTTTGTATTGCACACACCCTTGCTCTATCAACCCTCTATTTCCCGCTCTCTGGTATTCTACCTGTACTTTAATCTACCTCTTTGTTGGATCTCCTGTTGTCCACGATCTTAATGGTATCAATAAAGTTTCCAATGATGCTGTTGAAGGATTTCACCATGGACACCCCCAGCTCATTACTGGTCTCATTGATATCTGCGTCATAAGCGCCCAACAGGGGGGTGACTACCTCCACGTTCCCCCTCCCCACCCCCTGAAGGATCCCCATCAGTTGACCTCTGACCACCTGGAACATCTCCCTGTCGTACTGCAGCAGCACTGTCTCATCCAGGGGGTAGGTGACGTCCTCAGGGTAGCAGTCCCGAGGCACTGGCAGCTCCACGTACCTCATGGCTGGGAACCCAGCAGCCATGAGTTTGGCTGCTGGGCCGTGGCGGTCAGAGGGTTGCCCAGTATCTTCAGCTCCTCCAGGCCACGACAGGGAGCCAGGGCCTGGGTCAGGATGTCCATGTGTTCGTCTTCCAGGTCACAGTCCTCCAGGGTGAGGCTGTGGAGGGTGGCGGCGCAGCGCTGGAGGAGCTTGATGAAGGTGGTGGGGAAGAGGCCGCACACGTTGTGACCACTTATGTCCAGACTGACCAGGTTCTCGCTGTGCAGGCTGTTGGCCAGGTAGGCCATGTCCACACGGTTCAGGTTACAGTTGGCCAGCTCCAGGCATTGCAGTGGGGTGGTCAGGGGGCTGTGGACAAGGCAGAGGTTCACAAATGTATTGTAGTCATTTTTCACTATTTTGCTATATTATCACTTGTGCGTGTGCATGCTTGCAATGTGTTTGTGGGTGTGCGCCTCATTTCACACATGCTTGACAAAAAACAAAGCAAATATGAAAGGTTTACAATGCATACCAAATTAATGGACAGTGCAGGTGTCAGCTTGTTGTTTTGAGTCATGACGGCTATATCAATGTCAGCCGTAAATGACACCCTATTCCCTTTAAAGTGCACTACTTTCTACCAGAGTCCAAAAGTTTTCTGGTCAAAGGTAGTGCACTATATAGGGAATAGGGTGCGATTTGGAAGCGGACAATATCAGCCGTTAAGTGTCCCCTGGTTTCTGGCCGACCTGCAGATTTAGCAGCAGTCAGCTGTCTACATTCTCCCCCACAGCCAAGCAACAAAAACTAAATGCAACTGAGTACAAACTGAGTACTGCAAACTGCAGCCCCCATGCTATGATATTACACAGTGGGAATGCATCAGCTTGAATTGACATCCCCAGAGCTATATATACAGTAGACATCAATACCTAATACCTATGCACACACATACACATGCACACACACACTCTCCCCCTACACAGAGGTGAGCCCCTCACCTTAGCAGTCTTCGCAGGTGTCCGGTGAGGGTGGAGAAGCCCATGTAGAGCTCTGTCAGCTCAGTCAGCCGGCTCAGCAGATCCCCAATGGTTGCCAGCAGGTCGTCTTCATCCGAACCCAGCCTTCGCACGTCCAGATTTGGACCAGGTCGTGGAGGAGGAGGGCCTTCTCATGCAGGTAGCAGGCCTTGAAGAGGAGCGGGTAGAGGTTGTACGACTCACAGCTAAGGTTCTCCCTGGCGCTCGGGCCACTCTGAGCGAAGCCCTCAGCAGCGAGGAACCTCAGGCTCTTCATGGCTCTCTCTTCTCTATTCTGTCTTCTCCCTCTCCTGTCCTCGAGGTCTGGGTCTTGAAGTGTTAGGATCGACCAATCAGCCCTAGTGACTGGATGTGTTTGTGTTGTTGCTCTCTCCCCGTGTGTTGATTCTTTGTCTTTGCTAGTACTGTACATCTGTCTGGACCTCGTTTGCTGTGGTATCGTGTGGCGAAAGAGAGGCTTGGTGCGTGTGGTAGGTGAGTGGGAGGGCTATTTTTGGAAACAGCTGTCTCATTCCCCTCCCTTCGCCTCTATTTGCAACTTACACCGTAGCAACAACCTTTTCCTACTGCTTACTAAATTAGGCCCAACCTCCCTCCATACCGCCAACATTGAAATTACCTGTTTATGCAAGCAAGCTATATATACATTTACATTTACATTTTAGTCATTTAGCAGACGCTCTCATCCAGAGCGACTTACAGTTAGTGAGTGCATACATTTTCATACTGGCTCCCCGTGGGAAACGAACCCACAACCCTGGCGTTGCAAGTGCCATGCTCTACCAACTGAGCTACAGGGAACAAATATCCTGCCTCCATTGTGATATAGACACCAGTGACAACAATAACAGTAAAGCAATGTAGACAAACGTAACATGGACTTTGTACAGGGTAACATTGGCATCATCCCCACACTGAAATTATAGATTTACTGAAGGCTTAGATGTTAATCAAGACCAAGGCAGTGGCGGATCAGATCTCATAATGTACTAGCCTAATATGACTGGTTATGAAAACGTTATGCATTTGATGAGAGTACTCTGGAACACCCAGTGTTGTAAATATACTGAACAAAAAATATAAACGCAACATGTAAAGTGTTGGTCCCATGTTTCATGAGCTGAAATAAAAGATCCCAGAAATGTTCGATATGCACAAAAAGCGTATTTCTCTGAAATTTGGTGTACACATTTGTTTACCTTCCTGTTAGTGAGCATTTCTCCTTTGCCAAGATAATTAATCCACCTGACAGGTGTGGCATACAGTGGGGAAAAAAAGTATTTAGTCAGCCACCAATTGTGCAAGTTCTCCCACTTAAAAAGATGAGAGAGGCCTGTAATTTTCATCATAGGTACACGTCAACTATGACAGACAAAATGAGAAAAAAAAAAAATTCTCCAGAAAATCACATTGTAGGATTTTTTATGAATTTATTTGCAAATTATGGTGGAAAATAAGTATTTGGTCAATAACAAAAGTTTCTCAATACTTTGTTATATACCCTTTGTTGGCAATGACACAGGTCAAACGTTTTCTGTAAGTCTTCACAAGGTTTTCACACACTGTTGCTGGTATTTTGGCCCATTCCTCCATGCAGATCTCCTCTAGAGCAGTGATGTTTTGGGGCTGTCGCTGGGCAACACGGACTTTCAACTCCCTCCAAAGATTTTCTATGGGGTTGAGATCTGGAGACTGGCTAGGCCACTCCAGGACCTTGAAATGCTTCTTACGAAGCCACTCCTTCATTGCCCGGGCGGTGTGTTTGGGATCATTGTCATGCTGAAAGACCCAGCCACGTTTCATCTTCAATGCCCTTGCTGATGGAAGGAGGTTTTCACTCAAAATCTCACGATACATGGCCCCATTCATTCTTTCCTTTACACGGATCAGTCGTCCTGGTCCCTTTGCAGAAAAACAGCCCCAAAGCATGATGTTTCCACCCCCATGCTTCACAGTAGGTATGGTGTTCTTTGGATGCAACTCAGCATTCTTTGTCCTCCAAACACGACGAGTTGAGTTTTTACCAAAAAGTTCTATTTTGGTTTCATCTGACCATATGACATTCTCCCAATCCTCTTCTGGATCATCCAAATGCACTCTAGCAAACTTCAGACGGGCCTGGACATGTACTGGCTTAAGCAGGGGGACACGTCTGCCACTGCAGGATTTGAGTCCCTGGCGGCGTAGTGTGTTACTGATGGTAGGCTTTGTTACTTTGGTCCCAGCTCTCTGCAGGTCATTCACTAGGTCCCCCCGTGTGGTTCTGGGATTTTTGCTCACCGTTCTTGTGATCATTTTGACCCCACGGGGTGAGATCTTGCGTGGAGCCCCAGATCGAGGGAGATTATCAGTGGTCTTGTATGTCTTCCATTTCCTAATAATTGCTCTCACAGTTGATTTCTTCAAACCAAGCTGCTTACCTATTGCAGATTCAGTCTTCCCAGCCTGGTGCAGGTCTACAATTTTGTTTCTGGTGTCCTTTGACAGCTCTTTGGTCTTGGCCATAGTGGAGTTTGGAGTGTGACTGTTTGAGGTTGTGGACAGGTGTCTTTTATACTGATAACAAGTTCAAACAGGTGCCATTAATACAGGTAACGAGTGGAGGACAGAGGAGCCTCTTAAAGAAGAAGTTACAGGTCTGTGAGAGCCAGAAATCTTGCTTGTTTGTAGGTGACCAAATACTTATTTTCCACCATCATTTGCAAATAAATTCATAAAAAATCCTACAATGTGATTTTCTGGAGAAAAAAAATCTCAATTTGTCTGTCATAGTTGACGTGTACCTATGATGAAAATTACAGGCCTCTCTCATCTTTTTAAGTGGGAGAACTTGCACAATTGGTGGCTGACTAAATACTTTTTTTCCCCACTGTATCAAGAAGCTTATTAAACAGCATGATCATTACACAGGTGCACCTTGAGCTGGGGACAATAAAAGGCCACTCTAAAATGTGCAGTTTTGTCACACAACACAATGCCACAGATGTCTCAAGTTTTGAGGGAGCGTGCAATTGGCATGGTGACTGCAGGAATGTCCAACAGACCTGTTGCAGACCTGTTGCTACCATAAGTCGCCTCCAACATCATTTTAGAGAATTTGGCAGTACTTCCATCCGGCCTCATAACCGCAGACCACATGTCTGGTGTTGTGTGGGCGAGCGGTTTGCTGATGTCAACGTTGTGAACAGACTGCCTCATGGTGGTGGTGGGGTTATGGTATAGGCAGGCATAAGCTACGGACAACGAACACAATTGCATTTAATCGATGGCAATTTGAATGCACAGAGATACCGTGACGAGATCCTGAGGCCCATTGTCGTGCCATTCATCCACCTGCCATCACCTCATGTTTCAGCATGATAATGCACAGCCCCATGTCGCAAGGATCTCTACACAATTCCTGGAAGCTGAAAATGTCCCAGTTCTTCCATGGTCTGCATACTCACCAGACATGTCACCCGTTGAGCATGTTTGGGATGCTCTGAATTGACCTGTACGACAGAGTGTTCCAGTTCCCGCCAATATCCAGCAACATCGCACAGCCATTGAAGAGGAGTGGGACAACATTCCACAGGCCACAATCAACAGCCTGATCAACTCTATGCGAAGGAGATGTGTCACGCTGCATGAGACAAATGGTGGTCACACCAGATACTGACTGGTTTTCTGATCCACGCCCCTGCCTTTTTATTAAGGTATCTGTTACTAACAGATGCATATCTGTATTCCCAGTCATGTGAAATCCATAGATTAGGGCCTAATGAATTTATTTCAGTTGACTGATTTCCTTATATGAACTGTAACTCAGTAAAATCTTAGAAATTGTTTCAGTGTATTTTCCTAAATATTCATAGAGCCTTAGCATAGAATGTTGTGCCATAAGAGAGAAGACATTTTACATTTGACAACATGACATAAACACTTTATTATTTCTTACAAATTCATGTTTTACATTTTTCTTCTTCCCAAATCAGAAAGCGTCAGCCTTCATTAGACCGTGAGTATTTTCAATTGACAAACTACAATGATCACAAGCAAAGTTTATCATGCTTTCATACATCAAAATACAGACAATACAAAACATACTGCATATACTCTAATACGTAGATGTAACTGTTTAAATCATTATATTAAATGAAAGTGGTAATCTATAGAAACCTGAGAAGAAATGTCAGTCTAGAGGGCTTCAAAAGGTGAGTAGCATATTCAACATGACACATTCAACATGACAGATTGAACATGACACATTGAACATGAAACTCAGTCATCAATAAAAGGCACATCAGTTCATTTTTGTACGGAGTTGCTATTATTCCTTAGCATGGAGAGTGGTGGTGTCCCACAGCCCTATACTATATTTAGGCCCACCTGACCTGACCAGGAACCACTCAGGGCCCTAGCTATAGGCTAAACCACAGGGAGGTGTGTCTCTCAGTCTCTGTATCCCTGAGTGGAGTGCAGACTGCAGTCATGCTGTGGGGTGGTAGTGGTGGTGATGGTGGTGGTGATGGTGCTCGTGGTGGTGGTGGTGCTCATGCCTCTGAACCAGGGGGATCAAGCCCCCAGAGTAGGCAGGCAGGCTGGGCAGTGTCACCCTCTCTCCCCCTGGCTGAGCTTGAGAACCAGACTGCTGTAGGTGGTGGAGGGTTCTTGAGGGGGACCCAGCCTCTCTGGCCCTGGAGCGAAGCCTCTTGCTCTGGCTGTGCTGTAAGGGAAGTTGGGGCTGGGAGTGTGGCTGGGAGGGGTGGCACCACATGGAGGAGTGGTGGCAATGGAGCTTGCTTGATTTATCCCCACCTCCTCCTCCCCCTCCTCTGTCTCCCCCCACTGCTTTGGCTTGGCCCCTGAGAGACCGGAGGAAGGAAAGGCCCCTGCCTTTGGACTCTGTAGGGCCGCAGTTCTCCCCCACCACCACTGAGCGGCGCTGCTGATCTGAGCGGGTGTCCGGTCTGGGCACCTGAGAGGGGACGTCTGCAGAGGATGGAAAACATCATGGAATGCTGTCATTTCTTTTTGATGAATGTCATTCATCTTTGGTGTATTTTCAGTAAAAACATGTTGACTTTAATGATCTGTGCCTCAAAAGTGCTGAAAATAAATGGTCATTGTGTACCTACCTGCATCGTCAAACTTGGAGGAATAGTTCTCTATCCCAGCTAGTTCTACGTAGTGGTTCCTGCGTTCTGTGTTTTCATCCACACAGTGAAAAGTCCTCTCTGGGCTCCCTGCCTCCTCCTGCTGGACTTCCTCCATTCTGTCCCCTGTTCTGGAGCCCCGGCCGGAGCTGCTGGAGGGGGCCACCACCAGTTTGACCTTCAGGGCTGTGCTGCTACAGGACGGCTGCTTGGCCGACGCTTCAACCACCTCATAGATGGACTGCATGAGACTGGACATATCCTGTAACACACAGACACACACACTCAAACACACCATTAGCAAGGCTCCAGGGTTGACTTCATCTTAAGAGAAAACTCATAATGTGCAAAAGTTGCAGGTGTGTGAAGCTACCGTACCTCCTTGGTGACTTTACCACTGTTGTCAAAGTGATACAGTGTGAAGACCCACTCCTGTCGAGTGTCATCTTCCAACACCACGTTACACTCTGTGTCCTGTAACCATGAATAATTGTCACCATTACGCAGACACTTTTATGCATGCTTACATTTTACGTACAAGTGGTCCCAGGAATTGAACCAACTAGCCTGGCATTGCCACTCCATGCTCTACCAACTGAGCTACATAGGACCAAACACAACAGGTGAACCAACACAACAGGGACCATATTATGGTCATCAAACAAACCCCTGCTATACTCTATATAGAGATTCTATAGATCAACTCCTTTTGTAGTTGTAGTGTACAGGACAGTAAAAGGCCAAAAGCCACTCACATCAACATGGCTGTTCCTCTTCCTGGGCTGTCTGAATGGAACGTGGATGTAGCTCTCTCTCTCCTTCTCCCCTCCCTTCTCTGGTGGCAGTACTACTGTAAAACAAACAAAGTATACTCTCATTAGCCTTTGTGTTTGCTGTTTACAGACGATAACACACACAGTATCCCAGGTTTCACCGACAAGCAAGGGGAATTTTTAGTTAAGATATTAACCATACCGAATCAAACAGGTCAATCATTGAGTAAGTCTATGATGTTAAGTTAATGATGCATGCTAGATTTGGAATGCTAGATTTGGATCAGTGCAACAGTAATGTGATCAGCCTGATCCACTGAGCCGTCTTTCTCTACTCACCCTGTAGGGGGCACTTATGGTTCAGGGACTGCTCATCCTTCACTTCCCTTCTGCACAACTCCTGGAAAAAGAAGGAGAGGAGGGATGGACCAAGTGAGAATTAGGAGAGAAGAAGTCACAGATGGGGGGGGGGGGATATACAGAGGGAGAAGGAGAAAGACAAGGAAGCAATAAATTATGTGAGAGCAGGAAATCTATGATAGTCTGGGGGCCTATTGTTTGTCATCATCTGGGTAAATAATACTGTGAGAACCAGCTCCCAGCTGATGTTTTCAAGTTCACCTCAACTTCCGATAAATTCATTAAAGCCTTATGTGTTCTATAACTAATCAGATGTAATGCAGACACAGCTCTAAATACTAAATACGCACATGCACGCACACACACACACCATAGAAGAACGCTAATTTGATATACAAGTAGCTAGCACAGGACCAGTAGTAATTCATTTCCCCTTTGGGATGAAAGCTGAGCCTCTAATCTGACCCCTGATCTCCTCCGCTCACTGGGACAGAGTGTGTTCTACAGTTGATGTACAGAGGGTCAGCGGAGAACCCCGGAACCTTGTCACATGGGACCGAGTGGGGAACAGAAGGTCAAGACGCTTCCAGCAGCATACCATCCTGCATCACACTGCCACTGAAGCTAAGAAGGGTCAGTCCCTGGATGGGAGACAAGATGCTGCTGGAAGTGGTATTGGAAGGCCAGTAAGTAGGAGGCACTCTTTCCTCTGGTCTAAAAAAAGATCCCAATAGAGTACCCCAGTATGAGTCATAAAACCTAGTGGTGAAACAAGGAAATGGTCCCAATCATTTTTCCACCATTCATTTTCCTCATAGGGGATTTTAGAAACACTTCAAATAAGGGCTGTGTTTTGTGTAGGCTTACCCTGGTGTGACATTTTGATAACCGTGTAAATCTCTCTAGGACAAGGTGACTTTTATCAATATTTTCACCTGTATTTACCCCCTAAAAATGAAATGCTAATTAGCTGCTAATGTGGCTATGATAAAGAACTACAAATGCCATGATGATCTGGACGAGACTGACTAATCGAGGCAAAGGTAAGAATCTCTGGATTAACCATCTAATGTTAGCTAAATTTTGTCATTCATAAATGTGCACAATTTCTTTAAAATAGCCAATTCTGTGAACTGTCTTGTGCAGGTTTTAAATTGACACAATACCTGTTAGCAAAGGTGTCAGCTAGAGATGACGTGCAGGAGCTTGCAGGGATTTGTAGTTTTGCATGATGTCTACTTTGAGGCTAATTAGCATTTTTGAATCTGAGCGTAAATAGAGCCGAATATATTTATAAAAGTCACCTTGTCCGAGAGAGATTTACATGGTTATCAAAATGTCACACCAGTAAGCCTACACGAAACACAGCTCTTATTTGAAGTGTTTCTAAAATCCCCTAAGAGGAAACTGAAAACGAATGGGACCATTTCCTTGTTTCACCACTAGGTTTTATGGGTATTAATACACCTCCACTGTGGGCAGTGATAGGGGACATTGCCCTGTGTAGTGTGCTGTCTTTGGGACGGAACGTTAAACAGGTGTCCTGACTCTCTGTGGTCACTAAAAGATCCCATGGCACTTATCGTAAGAGTAGGGGTGTGAACCCTGGTGTCCTGGCTAAATTCCCAATCTGGCCCTCATACCATCATGGCCACCTAATCATCCCCAGCTTCCAATTGGCTCATTCCTCTCCCCTGTAACTATTCCCCAGGTCATTGCTGTAAATGAGAATGTTTTTATTCTGTTCTCAGAGAGGGAATAAAGCATTGGAGAAAAATAGAACCTATAAGGGTGAATTTACTGTAAGAGCAGGCAGGCAGGCAGTCATGCTCATGCCCTGACCATGCCAGCTTTGACATCACTATATCCAGTAAAAGTAAATCCATTAAGTCACTCTTGGTATTAAAGTATTATCACCTACAGAGTTCCCATATATGAGTGGAACTGAGCGTCACATATGGAAACAATAACACATCGTAAATGTACAGACTATGTTCATGAACCTGCTGAGACTACAACCTATTTATAATGCCAATGGGCTCAAAAGGGCTATTAACTTCAACTAAATTTTACATCATTTAGCAGACACTCTTATCCAGAGCGACTTACAGTTAGTGAATACATATATTTTTTTTTCATACTGGCCCCCCATGGGAATCGAACCCACAACCCTGGCGTTGCAAACGCCATGCTCTATCAACTGAGCTACATCCCTGCCGGCCATTCCCTCCCCTAGGCCAATTGTGCGCCGCCCATGAGTCTCCCGGTCACGGCCGGCTGCGACAGAGCCTGGATTCGAACCAGGATCTCTAGTGGCACAGCTAGCACTGCGATGCAGTGCCTTAGACCACTGTGCCACTCAGGAGACTTAATCCACTGGGTAGTTGTTGCTTGGTGAGTACCCACACTTTGAAACTAGGTGTTCCCTTGAATGGTGTTGAGCATATTGCATGTGCTATCAAGACCTATCAAGATCTGAGCATATGATATCCAGCCCTCTGTTGCAACAAGTCAGAAACCATACCTTCAAAAAAGGACAGTGAAAGCACCAAAACATTGGATCTGTGCGTCTGACTGTCTCCACCACAGACATTCCCAGCAGCCAGCCGCCCACAGCTCTGACAGATGCAGATGAGTAACAAAGAGCCTGTGGAGTCTGAGAGGACCATGCTGACAGATAACCCTGACTGCTGATGGCTTCAACCAGCATACCAGCCAAACCCCTGCCATCGACCGCCACGCTCTGCCTGCTACGGGCCCTTTCATCTGGGGTAGGGTTACCAACCGAGAGGGGAGGGGAGCGGGGGCCTTTCCTGCACTCAACTGGGTGTCACCAAGCTTTGCATCCTGTCCTGTAGGCCCCCTCTCTCCCACCTGCCTTTAGTTAGAGTCAAACGCAGAGCCCTGGGAAGAGAACAGTACAGGGCTTTGTTTTAACAATCTCTCTTCCTGTCAATCAATACCTGGAAAGGTGGTTGATCATCTCTGTTCCTGTCAACCAATACCTGGATAGGTGGTTGATCGTATGGGGGTGGGGCTGTATGGGGAAGGATGGTTGCTTCATCGCAGGAGTTTATGTGAATCGGCTTCTGTTATATACATAATAGGAAGATAAGTCTCTGGAAGTTGGTATACAAGTTCATATTCAAATAATGTAAAGGGGGTTGGGGTTGTTTTCAGGCTCAGGCAATAGTTAACGTTAAGTCAGAGAATAACCATTAAGAAGTTCTCATTTTTAGAGGTCTGACCTTGCTCACAGAAACCAGATGTGAGTGATTTCTGGAGGAGGGGAACTGAGGGAGGGATTTGGATGTTGAGCTGTGGTTGGGTGAGGAAACGCTGGAGCCAGAGTCTGTACGAGTATCTAGCTATAGAACTGGGCCTCTCTCCAACTGGCAAATCAGATCTGCTGGCCTTGAGGGCAGAAAGCAGTGGGAAAATGTCAGATCATTGTGGGTAGAGATGTCCAAGGGTTCTCACCACCTACTGACATGACCATGTTTTCTTTCTCAGCCTCTGTCTCTATCTGTCTCTCTGTCTCTGTCTCTCTGTATGTCTGTCTGTCTCTCTTTCTCGCTCATCCTCTGTCTGAGCTAACAGCCCAACAAACAAGGTGGGTAACCAAACATGAAAGGGAGACCCAGCCACCTGAACAATCCAATCTGTGTTTGGGAAAACCGGCTTCCCTGGCATAGAGCTGGAATGTTCTGGGAGGCGATTTCAGGCCAAATATGATCACAGACCAGAGTCTGAACAGTAGAATAACAAACAGAAACCTCTGGGTCAACAAACAGGACAGAAACACCTTGGTGGAAACATAAGAAGAGAATTAGAAGGAAGATTCCTTCTCCAAACACAACAGAATGACTGGCCCAGTTTAACCAACACTGCAGTTCCAAATAGAAATCCATACAGAGACATTGATGCAAACTGCAATCCGATTCTGATATGGTTGGTTGCATTTTATCAGACAACTTTTTTTCTACTTTGTGTTTGTACATTATACAGACTCTCTGGCTCACTTGACTGAGCTGTACATGATCCAGACCTGCCTTGGACAAACAGGTTTAATAATGAAAAGTGCCTTTGTTATTGCTTCAGGTGATATTGTCAACACTCCACCCTGAGTCCTTGTAATTAAACAGAAACAGTATGTCAATATTGAGGTTAATTGTTCTGCAAGTCTGAAATTGTTTAACATCCTGTTGGAAATAAGGTTGTAGCTCAGCTGGTAGAGCACAGTGCTTGTAACGCCAAGGTAGTGGGTTCGATCCCCGGGACCACCCATACACAAAAAAAAATGTATGCACGCATGACTGTAAGTCGCTTTGGATAAAAGCGTCTGCTAAATGGCATATTATTACAGATATCGAAACAGGATTTTTTTTAAACACGCACACATAGAACTGAGTAGAATCACCACAGAATGATCTTTACAGAAATGAAAGCACACATTAATTCAGGATTTTGCTCCACTTTTTGAAGTTGAGCAGCCAGAAGAGGAGAAGGAGATGGAAGAAAATAGGAATTCTTCCATGACTAACAGTGGGCTCTTTGAATAGGGTGCGTGACGGAGAGCTTTGGCGTCTCACTGGGTCTATGACCTGAGGCTGTAGGATGTTGACACAAGTGATACAGTACGTGTGACTGCTAGACACTGGACACCACGATCGAGGCATCACAGTTGACACTATAATCAAGCTTCCTTACTGAAAAGAGGACAAACATTTAACATAATCTTAAGACAGCCAGACACACGCATGAAGTGCCCAGGCAAAGAACATTCAGTATACCAGTACACTACAAACTGTAGCTAGCTAGACCCCCTGCTGGCAGTTACATAAGCAGTGGTGCCATGGAGCAGCTAATGGAGGAGCTGGAATACAGAATCACAGGAACAACTGAACTGTCATTAAAAAGACGTGGAAGACCTTGGTCTCATTACAGAAACCTGGCAGGCTCAGCCTCTCTTTCCTAATTACAGGCTCCAGAGAGACAGCAACATAGACCAACACTTCATTAACACCTCCTCACCGCCACAATGAGTACAAAATGGCACTACAGCAGGCATTCAAAATGGCTCCAATGGGTCTTTCCAAGTGTTGAAAGATGATTGCGAGAGAGAAAAGAAGACATTTAAAATATGTGAGTGAGGCAGTGAGTGGTCGCACAATTAAGAGTCAAAGAAGAGTTATGAGCATCAAGATGTTGTACTCTCACTATGCTACAGCTTCCCAAATGTGACCGTCTCATTAACACTACTAAGCCTACATGTGAAGGGGTTCCACCCACCGCCAGACACTCCGCCTACCATACCTTGTCCCCGTCCCCCCCCCCGCCGCCAGCACCAGATGTGGGGTTTCAGTGTGGCGGCAATGAAAGACCCTGCTGTTCTGGACAGCGGCCATATGCATTTCACACAGACATGACAGCCTCCTCTCACAGAGAGCAAACGAAGGAGCAGGGGGAAAAAAGCCGCTCTCCAAACACCTTTCATGTCCCTGGCTTGGCTGTGTGCTTATACTGTTCTATCATCCTTGTGGTTGCTTTGCCTTGGCTGGGACTGGAAGGGAGGGAGGGAGGGGCAGACCTGGCTGAGACATCATGCACATGTGATTCCGAGTCAGTGAACCCTAGTGCGAAGTGGTGACTGACAGTGTCAATCCTCTATGGATGGATGAATCAGGATGTCAACAAGACTGAGAAGGCAGCAATTCAAAATGTTATTTGTTGTTTACCCAGATGGTACATACTTTGGCTGTGATTTATGTATAAAGATTGATGAATACAACGTAATGTATTCAATATTGAGAATTGTCAATTTGCCTCCCTTTGTCTTAGATAAGAACCAATGTATCATACACTGCCTTCATTTTTTCATTAGGGTTCTAAGCTCTTCCACTCTGGGAGGCTGTGTTCCATTCAGCTCACCCGTCACAGGACTCCACCATTCTGGTTCTTGTTAGCGTCATTATCCAAGTTCAATCCTCTCAACTCTAATGACACACATGTGTCTGTGTTGCTTTCCATTTACAGGCATTTCTAGGCCAGAAAGAGCCAGAAGCAGATGCATCATGAACATGGTCCAGAGAAGGATGCTAACCCCCCAGGATGCAAAATACAAACTAGTGTTTGGTAAACAACTAACTGTTAGCATTGACAAACCAAAGAACCATCCTAGGGAAGAAGGCCTATGGGGATTTAGGTGTGAGAAGGATTTGGCAGTAGGGTATATGGCTACTGATTTCTGATGACTTTTTCCCTCTTTCTCACTGAAAATCTGCCAACAAAAGAAATGTTAATCATATCTCAATATCTCTGGAAAATGCATTGTACAGTACCTGCTTGAATCTGATTTTGTGGGTGTGGAGACCCGTATGTTCCAGCTCTCTATGACAGGTGAGCACATTGGCAGCAAAACTACCACCTGGAAGAAACAAACAAACAAAAAAGAAATGGTCTATATCCTGCATAACACTATGTTTGAGAGACATACATTTGAGACTTTCCTAAATGTGATTCTTTACCTTCAGGATTTTCTCTGCGTTTACAGGCTATCCAAATTATGCATGGAATGGAAACATAAAGAGAGAAAGAAAATATTGTTACATTTAGGTTATTAAGAGATATACAGTAGCTTCTGAAACGAAACTAAATACCAAGTATTACCATGTTTTGATTGGAGTTTGCCCATATTTTGTGATATTTCCTCTCGTGCCTAGAACCTTCATCTATTTGCGCATTGATCAAGACGTCTTCATCATCTCCCATTGATAACAACAAAGACAGTTGTATCCTGTATGCACTGATATGTCGATTTTTCCATCAAGTTATTAGAGGGTTGAGATAGCCTACAGTTTGTTGAGGTAGACAAGAGGACCGAAGCTTCGTGAAAGTGCGCACAAGTATGTTGGACAGAGGGAACTTGCAGTGTTTAGTATGGAAAATAAAAGAATAATCAATCTGCAGAGGGTACAGCACATCCTGCTGGCCATTAGGGGAAAGTATTTTTTCCAAACCAACTGTGGATTTTTATTTACAAATTAGCCTACAGAGCCATAATTTAACGCATGCATGATGTGTCTTTCATGTAAACATAAAATAAGAGCCCTCATTATACAAACGTTTTATTTGTTTGTATCTAGATCGCTGTTTCCCTAAATAGGCTACTGTAAATTCCCTGAGATAAATATTGCCACCAAGTGGTGGTTACACATGGTGACACGTATCTGCGTAATTTGCGTATAGAACGGACCAGGGACTGAATGACTTTAGAACGCCACTTCAGTTCCGATCACCTTATGATGACTATCTTCTGGACCGAGCCCTTTCTGGTCAAAGATTCCTCAAAATTCTTCATAATATTTCTAACAAGGTTGGTGAGACAAATGCGGAAAAATGCGTATAGCCTTTATTGAATTTACCTGGAAATTAGTTAAAGAAGGGAGAAGGCGCAAAAAAATGGATTACAGCAAACGCTTGACAATCATCCAGGTAGGCCTATTACAAACTCCAACCGCTAGGATGGGCCTACTGGCTTTTCACCCTCCTCTACCATCATGTCCTCCTTGTGCTCTCTTTGTCGCTTATTCAAGTGTATTAACTGCTGTTAACATTTCCATATAGTTTAACAACTTTTACAAAATACTTACATGTTTTTGGGGCATCCAATGAACACTTTCTCTGGAGAGCGCAGGGAGGAGGTGGTCAGTGCTGGAGTGAGATGAGGAGCCTGAGATTATCAACATCAGAGACATCACCCAGCAAAATATATAGGTTTACTGTAGGGCTTTTCACTGGAATGATTTATTCTAGAGCTAGGATTTACCCCTCCCACTTCCCAACTCTTCACTCCCCAACCCCCCCCCCCCCACTCCCCAACCTTTCACTCCCCAACTCTTCACTCCCCAACCCCTCCCACTCCTCAATCTTTCAATCCTCAACCCTTCACTCCTCAACCCTTCACTCTCCAACCCCTCCCACTCCCCAACCCTTCACTCCCCAACTCTTCACTCCCCAAACCCCCCCCCCCCCCCCCACTCCCCAACCTTTCACTCCCCAACTCTTCACTCCCCAACCCCTCCCACTCCTCAATCTTTCAATCCTCAACTCTTCACTCCTCAACCCTTCACTCTCCAACCCCTCCCACTCCCCAACCCTTCACTCCCAACCCTCCCCATCCCCTCCCCTCCCACTCCCCAAACCTTCCCTCCCCAACTCTTCACTCCCCAAATGTTCACTCCCCAACCCCTCCCACTTCCCAACCCTTCACTCCCCAACCCTTCACTCCCCAACCCCTCCCACTCCCCAACCCTTCACTCCCCAACCCTTCCAGCCTCAACCTTTCACTCCTCAACCCTTCACTCTCCAACCCCTCCCACTCCCCAACCCTCCCCATCCCCTCCCCTCCCACTCCCCAAATCTTCACTCCCCAACTCTTCACTCCCCAGTCCCTCCCACTCCCCAACCCCTCCCACTCCCCAACCCCTCCCACCCCCCCACACCCAACCCTTCACTCTTCAACCCTTCACTCCCCAACCCCTCCCACTCCCCAACCCTTCACTCCCCAAGCCTTCACTCCCCAACTCCTCCCACTTCCCAACCCTTCACTCCCCAACCCTTCACTCCCCAACCCCTCCCACTCCCCAACCCTTCACTCCCCAACCCTTCAATCCTCAAACTTTCACTCCTCAACCCTTCACTCTCCAACCCCTCCCACTCCCCCAACCCTCCCCATCCCCTCCCCTCCCACTCCCCAAACCTTCACTCCCCAGTCCCTCCCACTCCCCAACCCCTCCCACTCCCCAACCCTTCACTCCCCAACCCCTCCCACCCCCCCACACCCAACCCTTCACTCTTCAACCCTTCGCTCCCCAACCCCTCCCACTCCCCAACCCTTCACTCCCCAACCCTTCACTCCCCAACTCCTCCCACTTCCCAACCCTTCACTCCCCAACCCTTCACTCCCCAACCCCTCCCACTCCCCAACCTTTCACTCCCCAACCCTTCAATCCTCAAACTTTCACTCCTCAACCCTTCACTCTCCAACCCCTCCCACTCCCCAAACCTCCCCATCCCCTCCCCTCCCACTACCCAAACCTTCACTCCCCAACTCTTCACTCCCCAACCCCTCCCACTTCCCAACCCTTCACTCCCCAGTCCCTCCCACTCCCCAACCCCTCCCACTCCCAACCCTTCACTCCCCAACCCCTCCCACCCCCCACACCCAACCCTTCACTCTTCAACCCTTCCCTCCCCAACCCTTCACTCCCCAAGCCTTCACTCCCCAACTCCTCCCACTCCCCAACCCTTCACTCCCCAGGCCTTCACTCCCCAACCCCTCCCACTCCCCAACCCCTCCCACTCCCCAAGCCTTCACTCCCCAACCCCTCCCACTCCCCAAGTCTTCACTCCCCAAGCCTTCACTCCCCAACCCCTCCCACTCCCCAACCCTTCACTCCCCAACCTTTCACTCCCCAACCCCTCCCACTCCCCAAGCCTTCACTCCCCAACCCCTCCCACTCCCCAACCCTTCACTCCCCAAGCCTTCACTCCCAACCCCTCCCACTCCCCAACCCTTCACTCCCCAACCCTTCACTCCCCAACCCCTCCCACTCCCCAAGCCTTCACTCCCCAACCCCTCCCACTCCCCAACCCTTCACTCCCCAAGCCTTCACTCTCCAACCCCTCCCACTCCCCAACCCTTCACTCCCCAACCCTTTACTCCCATCATTCTTATCCCAAAGAGGGCATAAAATAAGATCCTCACCACACTTGTTTTCTCCATTCCTTAGTGATCAAACAAAAAATCTGCTCAGTGGTCCCCTGTGTTTGTGATAGTGGGACATCTGCTCAGTGCTCCCCTGTGTTTGTGATAGTGAGTAATCTGCTCAGTTGTCACCTGTGTTTGTGATAGTGGGACATCTGCTCAGTGGTCACCTGTGTTTGTGATAGTGGGACATCTACTCAATATTGTGTAGTAGGCTATGTAGTACGCCGATGGTTTTAGTAATGCTGCTTTGTTACTCCATGTTGTAATGTGTTATTTCTTGTGTTTTTTAAAAGAAGGTTGATGACATCCGATCCTCATTTATTAAGTCAAATGACACCGCTGGTCCTGCTCACACTGCCCTACCCTATGCTTTGACTTCTTTCTCCCCTCTCTCTCCAGATGAAATCTTGCGACTTGTGACGGCCGGCCGCCCAACAACCTGCCCGCTTGACCCTATCCACTCCTCTCTTCTCCAGACCATTTCCGGAGACCTTCTCCCTTACCTCACCTCGCTCATCAACTCATCCTTGACCGCTGGCCATGTCCCTTCCGTCTTCAAGAGAGCGAGAGTTGCACCCCTCCTCAAAAAACCTACACTCGATCCCTCCAATGTCAACAACTACAGACCAGTATCCCTTCTTTATTTTCTCTCCAAAACTCTTGAGCGTGCCATCTCTAGCCAGCTCTCCTGCTATCTCTCTCAGAATGACCTTCTTGATCCAAACCAGTCAGGTTTCAAGACTGGTCATTCAACTGAGACTGCTCTTCTCTGTGTCACGGAGGCTCTCCGCACTGCTAAAGCTAACTCTCTCTCCTCTGCTCTTATCCTTCTAGACCTATCCGCTGCCTTTGATACTGTGAACCATCAGATCCTCCTCTCCACCCTCTCCGAGTTGGGTATCTCCGGCGCTGCTCACTCTTGGATTGCGTCCTACCTGACAGGTCGCTCCTACCAGGTGGCGTGGCGAGAATCTGTCTCCGCACCACCTGCTCTCACCACTGGTGTCCCCCAGGGCTCAGTTCTAGGCCCTCTCCTATTCTCTCTATACACCAAGTCACTTGGCTCTGTCATATCCTCACATGGTCTCTCCTATCATTGCTACGCAGACGACACACAATTAATTTTCTCTTTTCCCCCTTCTGATAACCAGGTGGCGAATCACATCTCTGCATGTCTGGCAGACATATCAGTGTGGATGTCGGATCACCACCTCAAGCTGAACCTCGGCAAGACGGAGCTGCTCTTCCTCCCGGGGAAGGACTGCCCGCTCCATGATCTCGCCATCACGGTTGACAACTCCATTGTGTCCTCCTCCCAGAGTGCAAAGAACCTTGGCGTGACCCTGGACAACACCCTGTCGTTCTCCGCTAACATCAAAGCGGTGACCCGATCCTGCAGGTTCATGCTCTACAACATTCGCAGAGTACGACCCTACCTTACACAGAAAGCGGCACAGGTCCTAATCCAGGCACTTGTCATCTCCCGTCTGGATTACTGCAACTCGCTGTTGGCTGGGCTCCCTGCCTGTGCCATTAAACCCCTACAACTTATCCAGAACGCCGCAGCCCGTCTGGTGTTCGACCTTCCCAAGTTCTCTCATGTCCATCCGCTCCTCCGCACACTCCACTGGCTTCCAGTTGAGGCTCGTATCTACTACAAGACCATGGTGCTTGCCTACGGAGCTGTGAGGGGAACAACACCTCCTTACCTTCAGGCTCTGATCAGACCCTACACCCAAACGAGGGCACTACGTTCATCCACCTCTGGCCTGCTAGCTCCCCTACCTCTACGAAAGCACAGTTCCCACTCAGCCCAGTCAAAGCTATTTGCTGCTCTGGCACCCCAATGGTGGAACAAGCTCCCCCACGACGCCAGGACAGCGGAGTCACTGACCACCTTCCGGAGACACTTGAAACCCTACCTCTTTAAGGAATACCTGGAATAGTATAAAGTAATCCTTCTACCCCCACCCTCCCCCACCCCCCCATAAAAAAAGTGGCTGTCCCACTGGCTATCATAAGTTGAATGCACCAATTTGTAAGTCGCTCTGGATAAATGATGTAAATGTAAATGTAAATGTGTTTGTGTTGGTGGGACTACTCAGTGGTCCCCGGTGTTAGTGTCTGACATCTCTGTTGATGACCTGTCTGTGTCTGTCAGGTGTTTGCGGTGTTCGGCTTGACCCTGTTCAGTGCTGCTGTCCCATCAGCCTTTGGCAACCTGTCCTTGGCCCTCAACACCCTCGTCTTCTGCATCCCTAGGACGGATGGATGGCCATCTACAGGGAGTTTGAGGAGTAAGTGACACAAGGCCCTACATTTCCCCTTATCCAGTTCATACAGTATGTCCTTGGATAAAGACTACATTTCCCCTTATCCAGTTCATACAGTATGTCCTTGGATAAAGACTACATTTCCCCTTATCCAGTTCATACAGTATGTCCTTGGATAAAGACTACATTTCCCCTTATCCAGTTCATACAGTATGTCCTTGGATAAAGACTACATTTCCCCTTATCCAGTTCATACAGTATGTCCTTGGATAAAGACTACATTTCCCCTTATCCAGTTCATACAGTATGTCCTTGGATAAAGACTACATTTCCCCTTATCCAGTTCATACAGTATGTCCTTGGATAAAGACTACATTTCCCCTTATCCAGTTCATACAGTATGTCCTTGGATAAAGACTACATTTCCCCTTATCCAGTTCATACAGTATGTCCTTGGATAAAGACTACATTTCCCCTTATCCAGTTCATACAGTATGTCCTTGGATAAAGACTACATTTCCCCTTATCCAGTTCATACAGTATGTCCTTGGATAAAGACTACATTTCCCCTTATCCAGTTCATACAGTATGTCCTTGGATAAAGACTACATTTCCCCTTAACCAGTTCATACACTATGTGTTCTTGGATAAAGACTACATTTCCCCTATCCAGTTCATACAGTATTGGTCCTTAGATAAAGATTTTGAAAAGCAAGAGGGGATTATGTTATTGATCAAATGGGGCTTACAATTTTGCAATAGAGTGAAAAAGCTTATGTGAAAATGCCTACATATTGTAGACATATTTCTATGTATTTTGTCCCAATGTGGTAAGAGTTGTCCTTTCTCTCTGCACAGTAGTGATGAGGTGTTGATGTACGGAGCATCTCTCTACTTCTTCATCTTCCTTACTGGCGGAGCCTTCATCTTCACCAACCCCCTCATCGCCGTGGTAACTACCAACCTGGAGGTATCCATGGCCGACTACGACGACAAGAACTCTAACGAGTGTTCGCTGGCTAGCGGTAAGTGTGTCACTCTTTCCGTTTCCCCTATAGTTTCCATGTCACGTTAGTGTTATTCATACCAAGGCTCTGTAACTTCTTCTTGAAAATGTTGTTGATGACACAGGGGGGTGGGGTTGTGTGATGAATTGCATGTCTTCCACATTGTTGTATATTGATTATTACTACAAGCTGCCTTTCAAAATCATCAATACGTCCACTCCCCTTTCGTTGTTTTCAATCACATATTACCACCCTGTGTATTAAGTCCTCTCTCCCTACACACCACACCAAACTCTCTCCTCAACCCCTCCATTTTAAATAAAAAGATTGGGGATTTGGGGGGGGGGGGGGTAAATGATCATGAAGGTTTCACAGTGTCTCAAATATACCCAAAGGGATTTAACTTGGAAGCTATTAACAGCGTCTTTCTAAATACATGTTATTTCTTTAAACATTTTAGTTGGTCTCGGTCTAATCTTCAAAACACTTCACATGTATGGCACAGATGTCTAAAGAAAATTAAGTTGGTCGTTTTAAAAACATTCTAGTAGCCAAAGCTTTTGAAAACGTATTTTCCACGTTTATTACCGAATACAAAAGTCAATCCCATGTCTGACTGTGTCATCTCAGGATGATCATTTCATGGGTCGTTATTGTACTGTTCAAGATGTGACATTTAGATGGGTTTGTAAACGTCCAATTACAAACACAGTTTCCATATTCAAAGAATAATAATGTGTCTTATACAGTCTACAACTTGTCTCCATTATATTACACAAATGTACATGCGTCCGTTAGCAAACTAACAGACAAAGTTAATATCTTCATGGTAAATGGCCCAGCAGTTAATTGCTGTTGCCAAAAGATTATTTGATAGCGATGGCTGACGTGGGTCCAATATGGGTCCAGATGTAGCCTTTCTCTGGACGGATAGGAATGGTGGGGAAAGGACAGCTCCTGGACTTGAAGTACTCCGAGGGGGCGTGGCACACAAACTCCAGGTACTCCATCTTCCTGGGAAGATCCTCCTCTGGACCTATAGAAGCAATCAGAATATTCAGATAATCAGTAACAGAAACATTATCGGCTAGTTTTGGTCTTTGAGTCTACTGTGACATTCCTCCCATATACACAATGTTCAAAAAGAGACAAATAACTTATTTCTGTGTGCTCAAATGTAACTTTAAAAAATGTGACCTAAATACTCAAATTCAATCATCACTCACCAACAATGTAAGTGGCAGGATCAAACAGGTCCTTAGGACTGGCCTGGGTTGGAATCAACCAAGTCAAGGCTGCACTCTTCTCACAGTACTGGTCCTGGATAAAACCTCTGATCTGTGCATAGTACGGCCTCCCATCATCCTCGTCTGTCACTTTGATGACATCTCCTATCTGATAATACACACCCTGCACATTGACAAAAGAAGACAACTATTGCTGACAGTTATACACATTGTATATACATTATCCAACAGATATGTTTGCTAACATACTGTACTGAAGGATTTTTAAAAAGTAAACATACTGTACCTTATAAAAGACTGATTCTGATGTGATGATTGTGGAAACAGATTCTGGTGCTTTGATTGGCTGTGGAAGAAATCCCATTTTGAGGAGCTTCGATTAGAACAACTGTTTGACTTCTGACAATCCAACATAAAGATATCAGAGTTCCTGTGTATTGAACCAATGGTACTTACATTTTTTAGTTTGAAGATGTGTCTTCTTCCTTTTCCTTTGGTAGAGACCTTTTTTTCAGCAGCAGGGGTTTTGTACTTGGTGCTCCTCAACCGTGCTGATCTCCTGTGGATTTCTTGTTTAGACTGTGGGCAAGATGTGTCAAATACCAATATTACATCTTCATCAGGATGACAATGTGGATCATACATGCCTATATGATTGATCTCTGCTTTGCCTTGGAAGTAGAACAGTATGGAGGTACAGCCACTAAGGGGAGCACAGTACAGTACAGTACAGTACACTACAGTGCAGGCCTATGTATATTTTATATGTGCTCAAAACGACAACAAACCTGCTTTCCCCCGCCATTATTCTGCTGTGTGTTGGAGGACGCAGAGGGTCCAGATGCTCCACTGCTGATGCTCCTCCCCGTGCAGTTATTGCACAGGATCTCTCCTTGGTTTCCCTTTTTCCACATAGACGATGAGTTTGTTTTGCAGACAGCGCAACATGGTTTCAAACCCAGCGGCATCTTGAAAGAAAAAATGTGGGCCAGCGAAATGATGAACGCAGAAGCTAGCTACCTAGCTAACTGTTTTCTGGCTAACAACATCAGCAACACGCAACGTAAAGCATGCAACGACAAAGCCGCTCGTGACGGACGGACTTCGAAAAAACAACTACAGCATGCAAATCAAATACAACCATCAATAACCGATAGCTACATCGATTTAGCCCAGACAGCTAGCTAACCAGTCTGTAAAAATGTCTTCTTCCTTCAGCTAGCTCGTGTGGGCCGCACTAAGCAAAGTATACTGCGCCACCTACTGGGATGGAGTGTATTGACAGCCTTATATCGAGGTATTATATTTATCTAACAGGCAAGCTTATTTTTAGTCATTTAGCAGACGCTCTTATCCAGAGCGACTTACAATTAGTGAGTGCATACATTTTTCATACTGTATTGGTGGGGAAAAACAGGCCTACGTAGTCTACTGTAGGCTACACTACTTTTTTTTAACGTCAACATTCGTTCAGAACAATTATATTGATAGCAACAGAAAATGTCGCTCTCAAAAAGTATCAAAAGAAAGATGGATAATGAAAATCGAAGTTTCAGGGAAGAATGTACAGAGAGATATGCGTTCATCTTAACATATTTTAAGTCAGTAGTGTCTTATTTGCAATGAAAATGTCGCTGTTTACAAATAATTCAATCTCAGACGTCATTATAAATCTAACCATTGAACTTTCAAAGTGGCCTTCCCGCCCCAGACAGAGGCCCGACGCAGAAAAAATTGAAGCGTTAACCGCAAACTACACACACACAGCTTTTTTGGCTGATTTGGCCGATTTGGACTTGTCATCTGGAAGGCAGAGGGACCAGGCCGCAGCATTGACAGAGGTGATGGAAGATTTCATCAAGCAGCAGAGGGACAACTTCTCCACCAGATTTGAAGACTACAGCATGCCCAAGGATATCATTGCGTTTGTTCGTGATCCTCTCACAGTCCGCCCAGGTGGAGAATTATCCTCCCTTGCTAAGAAAACGATACCCTCGCTGGATGAGGCCGCAATTCAAACTGAGCTGATTGTAGGATGCTACATTATTGTGAGTGCTTATCCAGGGATATTTAGGTCTCAAGCTGACAGTATGTTCTGTCGTTAAAGGAGCAGGCTATCCCGATGCAGACATTCAGACACAGAATGTCACGACTTCGGCTGAAGCTGCCTCCCCTCCTTGTTCGGGCAGACTTCAGCGTTTTTTCTGTGATTTACCCTCCTGCGCCTGACTCCTTCAACACCACCACATCACAGAATCACCCACCCGAAATATGGAGTCAGCGGGAGAAGAGCGCATGCCTGGAGTCGTGGCACGGGTCCAGGAGCATTCCACGATGCTGGCCAGCTTGGGGGAAGCGATGGATCGGGTTCTTCAGGTCGTCCAATGCCTGGAGAGGAGAGAAGCCGATCTGTCGAGACCAGCTGGCCAAAGGGATCCAGATATCCCAACCACGGGCGTTTGATGGGACGACGGCGCTGTGCCAGGGATTCCTCCTCCAATTGGAGCTTTACTTCGCCAGCATCAGGCCGGAACCATCGGAGCGGGAGAAGGTGTCCATCCTCATTTCCTGCCGCTGTGGGAAAGCCTTGGAGTGGGCCAACGCAGTGTGTAACGAGGGAGGAGCCGCGTTGGAGGACTACAGCGAGTTCGCTTGGTCTTCGCTTGGTCTTCGCTTGGTCTTCGATCACCCGCCCGAGGGTAGAGAGGTGGGTGAGCGACTGGTCCATCTGAGGCAGGGGACGAGGACCGCTCAGGACTTCGCGTTGGAGTTTCGGTCGCTGGCTGCGGGGTCCGGGTGGAACGAGCGGGCCCTGATCGACCATTTCCGGTGCCGTCTGCGGGAGGTGTCCGACGGGAGCTAGCCTGCCGAGACACCATGTTGTCCTTCAACAAACTGGTGGACATGGCCATTCGTTTGGACAACCTGCTGGCAGCCAGAGGACGTCCTGGTAGGGGTCTGCACGTTTCCACCCCGGACGACTCGGATCCCGAGCCGATGGAGCTGGTTGGAGCCGCCGGCCGAGAGAGCGGAGGAGGACAGCGACAGTGCCACTCTGGTGGCACGAAGGGACAATACACCACACGTCGTAGTCAACGTTCTTTTGGGCCAGGAGGTGGCAGGCAGGGCACTCACGCATCACCCCAGGTATCGAACACCCACACTTGTTCAGAGCCCTCTGCTGCGCACTGTACCCTACCTATCCACTTTCCCGATCTCATGGTAGTTCCCCAGTGTAAGGCGTTAGTCGATTCAGGCGCAGCTGGGAACTTTATGGACAGGGCATTCGCACGCCGTCAAGGCATAACATTGGTTACCCTATCCATTCCACTCCCCATCAGAGCACTCGATAGTCGACCAATAGGGTCCGGGATTGTTACGGAAGTCACGATACCAGTCACCATGATCATCCAGGAGACTCATTTTGAGCAGGTAATTTTTTCGATTATTGAATATCCTGCTTTCCCTGTGGTATTAGGTATCCCTTGGCTAGCACTCCACAACCCCACCTTCTCATGGCCGCAGAGGGCTCTCACAGGGTGGTCGCGAGAGTGTCAGGGTAGGTGTCTAGATGTTTCCGTTGGCGCAACCACGGTGGAAAGTCCAGACAGTACCTCCACCGTGCGTATTCCCCTGAATACCTCGATCTGGTGCAAGCGTTCTCTAAAATGCAGGTGACTAAATTACCACCTCATCGGGCGGGGGATTGCGCAATAAACCTCCGGGTAGATGCTGTACCTCCCAGGAGTCATATATACCCCCTGTCACAGGCTGAAACGGTGGCTATGGAAACCTATGTCACCGAGTCCCTGCGCCAGGGGTATATACGTCCCTCCACTTCACCTGCCTCCTCGAGTTTGTTCTTTGTGAAGAAGAAGGACGGAGGTCTGCGCCCGTGCATTGATTATCGACCACTGAACAGGGAGACGATAACATTTAGTTATCCTCTTCCCCTCATTCCTTCGGTGATTGAATCAATGCATGGGGCACGCTTCTTCACCAAATTAGATCTCAGGAGTACGTACAACCTGGTGCGTATCCGAGAGGGAGATAAGTGGAAGACAGCATTCAGCACAACCACGGGGCATTATGAATACCTGGTTATGCCCTATGTTTTGATGAATGCTCCCTCAGTTTTCCAGTCCTTTGTGAACGAGGTGTTTCGGGACATGCTTGGTCGCGGTGTAGTGGTCTACATCGATGACATCCTGGTGTATTCCGCTGCGCGCGCCGAGCATGTGTCCCTGGTTCGCAAGGTGCTGGCCCGACTGTTGGAAAATGACCTTTATGCTAAGGCAGAGAAGTGTATGTTTTTCCAGCAGTCCGTCTCCTTCCTTGGATACCGCATTTCCACCTCAGGTGTGGAGATGGAGGGAGATCGCATTTCAGCCATGCGTAATTGGCCGACTCCAACCACGGTTAAGGAGGTGCAGCGCTTCCTTGGCTTTACCAACTACTATCGGAGGTTTATCCGGGGCTTTGGCAAGGTCACAGCTCCCATTACCTCCCTGTTGAAGGGTGGGCCGTCCCGGCTCCGCTGGTCTGCTGAGGCTGACCTGGCCTTCAGCAAACTGCGGGGTCTGTTCACCTCAGCCCCAGTACTGGCCCACCCCGAAATATCACTACTGTTCGTAGTGGAGGTGGATGCGTCTGAGGTTGGGATAGGAGCTGTCCTGTCTCAACGCTCGGGTACGCCACCCAAGCTCCGCCCCTGTGCCTTCTTCTCTAAGAAGCTCAGCCCGGCGGAGCAGAACTACGACGTTGGTGATCGGGAGCTGTTGGCTGTTGTCCGAGCCTTGACCGCGTGGAGGCATTGGCTCGAAGGGGTGAAACACCCTTTCCTCGTCTGGACGGACCACCGTAACCTGGAGTACATCCGGGCAGCGAGGAGGCTGAATCCTCGCCAGGCCAGGTGGGCCCTATTCTTCACCCGGTTTGATTTTACACTATCATACATTCCGGGTACGAAGAACGTGAAGGCAGACTCACTGTCCCGGCTGTATGACACAGAGGAGAGGCCCAAAGACAACACCCCCATACTCCCGGCCTCCAGCATTGTGGCGCCGGTAGTATGGGCGATGGACGTGGATATAGAGCAGGCATTACGCACAGATCCATCTCCACCGCAGTGTCCAGCTGGGCTGCGGTATGTGCCTGCTCTTATCCGTGATCGTCTGATCTTCTGGGCACACACGTCACCCTCCTCTGGTCACCCAGGTATCGACCGTACAGTGCGCTGCTTGAGCGGAAAGTACTGGTGGCCTACCTTGGCTAAGGACGTGAGGGTGTACGTCTCCTCCTGCTCAGTGTGCGCCCAGAGTAAGGCACCTAGGCACCTCCCAACGGGTAAGCTACAACCATTACCAGTTCCACAATGACCATGGTCTCATCTTAGTATTGATTTTCTGACTGATCTTCCCCTCTCCCAAGGTAACACCACCATCCTGGTCATTGTGGACCGCTTCTCCAAGTCCTGCCGCCTCCTTCCTCTGCCCGGTCTCCCCACGGCCCTGCAGACTGCGGAGGCCCTGTTTACTCACGTCTTCCGGCACTACGGGGTGCCAGAGGATATCGTGTCCGACCGAGGTCCCCAGTTCACGTCCAAGGTTTGGAAGGCGTTCATGGAACGTCTTGGGGGTCTCGGTCAGCCTGACCTCTGGGTTCCACCCCGAGTCAAATGGGCAGGTGGAACGAGTAAATCAGGATGTGGGTAGGTTCCTGCGGTCCTACTGCCAGGACCGGCCAGGGGAGTGGTTGGTGTTCTTGCCATGGGAAGAATATGCCCAGAACTCTTTCCGCCACTCCTCTACTAACCTAACACCATTCCAATGTGTTTTAGGTTACCAACCGGTACTGTCACGACTTCGGCCGAGGCTGCCTCCCCTCCTTGTTCGGGCAGGCTTCGGCATTCGTCGTCACCGGAGTACTAACCACTGCCGCCCCAATCATCATCACAATTGTCTTGTCTCATTATCACACACGCCTGGTTCTAATCCCTTAATTAGTCTGTGTATAAGTGTTCCCTCTGCCCCCTTGTCCTTGTGGGTGATTGTTTATTGTGAAGGTTAGTGAAGCTCGGTGGAGCTCGTGTATTTTGTTAGACGGGAGTATTTTCCCGTGTGCCTTGTATTTTCCAGTGCACCTGTTTTGTGCCCTGGAGTGTGTTTGACGCAGTTCTCCGTAAACCTGTATTTTGCAGATTAAAGCCTGTTTTTTCTGTGATTTACCCTCCTGCGCCTGACTCCTTCAACACCAACACATCACAGACATCGCCTTTTTTTCTTTAAATGATTGTTTTATGTAGGATGCTACATTTTTGGCCAGTTGCAATTGTAAGTAGGCCTCATAAAAAAAATCCCACTTCTATAAGGCCATAGCGTTTTTTATTGTGAAAGATGCTGTTAAGCCTCATAGCCTACCTCAGCCAGTTAAGTTATTTTATATAGGCCTAGGCTCGGAAGCAATAGACTCCAATTAAGCCCTCTTGTTGTTTGTAAAGTCAAATTAAAATGAAGATTTTTGTTTAAATTAATAACTGGACTGGTGTAGGTTTTCTCCATCTGTTGCTCTGCAATACTTGCATAACAAGTTAGCTATATTTTCAGCACCAGGCGCTGTTCACCTCCTATTGATTACACTGCGGTTGCAGCTTTACGTTTCAGCACCACCGAATGGTCCGCTGCCTGCTATATTAGTTAGTCTCCTGCATTCTCTCTCCTCATGAATGAAGTTAAAATGTAACTTTTGCCTTATTTAGGTAGGGTAACTTCCTTCTTGGGACATTGCATTTGGAAGTTTTTGCATCTCGGGTCCTTTATTTTTATTTTTATATTGTATATTTGTTTTGAGAAAAAAATATAATTAATTTGGCGGCCTTTGGGGTGGCCAAATAATATTGATGCCGGGTCAGATTTGGCACGTAGGTCACCAGTTGGGGAACCCTGCTCTACTGGTAGAGATACTTGTTTCGGATTTGGGGGGAAATGGAGAGAGAAAAAAACGTATCACGCCTACGTCACTGCTCTAAAAGTAGCGGGGAACTTCCGCTCCTCACAACTTTTTATCAACCGTGTGCCCTTACTACTGAGAAACAGCCTAATCAAGATGTCTGGCAACAACGTGGAAGAGAAAGTGAATCATGCATCTAACAGCAAAGGCATCTCTCTTCCAATGACTCGTGTAAAACTGATCATGAAAAGTTCTCCCGACGTCTCAAGCATCAACCAAGAGGCTCTTCTCCTCACCACCAAAGCAACAGTAAGTTTAGTTCAGTCGGCTGTTTGTTTATTGGCTTAGCTATGCTAGCTAGCTAATGCTATATTAGCTAACGTTACGTATTAGCTAGGCCTACAAGGTAATTTTGCAGTAAGGTCTGAAATGAATGTATACATATACAGACAGTACTAGCTAGCTACTTTCATTAGCTCGAACTTCAATCTCGTGAAGTTTACTAGTTAAGGTAGTTAACTAACCCTGAATGGTTGTAACAGTTAGCTAGCTAACTAACGTTAGCCCCTGTAGTGTCTGAAGGTCTATTGATTTAGCTGATGTTTGCAAATGGTGTAATAGATGAACTTTACTCTGCTTTGCTGAAGCATTTGGAAAAGCATTGCTACATAGGTTTCTTGGAATAGAGGACATTTGGAGATATGTGAAAGCCGGGGATTGGTTTATTAAAATCACGCCATACTATGTCACATAGGATATAAATACCATGTCGTAAACAAAGAAGGGAGGAGACAACATATTGGATCAACAGATTGGCCGTTTCTCTCCAGATATAACTGCAGATATCTGTAAATTAATACTGTGAACTTTGATACAATAAATCTTTATAATCAAAGAACAGTGTAAGCGGACTTCTTATCATCACAGCATAATTAGCAACGTTGACTTGGACACCACACCCCGAAGTGACATTACTGTTGTTGCACAGAAAGTGGAAATATCTTTGGCTGTAACTTCAACGAAAATAGGGTGTAAATTTAACCTGTAGTTAATGCAGTGCCTAAAATTAACACCCGCCAAATGCGGGTAGATTCTGTCATTGGCGGGTAAGAATGTCTAATTCAGCAGCCATGTTGGCGGGGGGGTCACACTCGGGGCTCAACAGTGCGAGTAATTAATAAAAAATAGTCAAGTATGGGCACGTTGGGGTTTATATCAAAATAAATGCAGAAGTTGCTGTTTTCAAAGTATTTCTGCCGTTTTTGTTTCTTATCTGGTTATGCACAAAGATCTGAATCCTAACGTTAAATCTATCCCATCTCGCGCAGCAAAACTGCCTGTATCTACCTGCCACAGTGGCTGGTAGACAAAAACGTTTTAATCTTTGCTACCATGTGGAAGGCAGAGACCGTGGAGGACTGAAAAACAGCTTCTATCTCCAGGCCATCTGACTGTTAAATAGTCACCACTAGCTGGCCTCAGCCCAGTACCACTGCCCTGAACCTTAGTCACTGTTACTACTGGCTACCACCTAGTACTCAACCCTGCATCTTAGAGACTGCTTCCCTATGTACATAGTCATTGAACACTGGTCACTTTAGTAATGTTTACATACTGTTTTACCCACTTCATATGTATATACTGTATTGTAGTCAAGGCTCACCTTATATAACTACTGCTGTCCCTACCGTTTCTATTCATATACTGTCCAGAATGTCTATAAACACATCATATACATATATATTTATATTCCAGACTCTGACATTGCTCTTTCTAATATTTCTTAATTACTTTATTTACATTTTTGGGATTTGCATGTATTGTTGGGTATACTACTGCACTGTTGGAGCTAGGAAGCATTTCGCTAGACCTGCAATAACATCTGTGAAATATGTGTAGGTGACCAATAGAATGTGATTTTATGTGGCTGTAGTGTATCCTCCTTCAGAGCCGTGTAAATAAAAGACTGCCCTCCATCCTAATGATGTCACTGTTAATAAATGGGAACTGTCCCGTGTAATAACTTGATTCATCTCTCTTCTAGGAACTGTTTGTTCAGCACCTAGCTCTCTCCTCGTTCAACAATGGATCAGGGAAAGACAAGACACTCTCGTACAGTGATCTGGCCAATACTGTTGAGGAGACAGAGACTTTTCAGTTTCTCACAGGTACAGAACTATTGTCACCACCACCAGTAACTGCCATTCTCTTCTCTCTGAACATGGATGATCATGACACTGAGATAAAGTAAATCTGTTCCGTATACCGTTTGCAGATATCCTACCAAAGAAGATCTTGGTTCGGGATTACCTGAAGCTTCTAGAGGAAAATCCAATTGAGGAAGCAGACAATTGAAGCAACAACCCCTACAGCAATATTGGTTGTATTGCTAGCATGTAGTCTGTTGAATCTTTTTCTCCAGCTCATTCCTAAAGGAGACCACATCCATACCACTTCCATGCAATGGCATTGTGTAGGCCTACATCTTGATCTCTGAGATTTACTAGAGCATATTATGTTTACTACAATTAAGTTGCCCAGTCATCCGGATCCTGAGCATCCAGTTTTGGGTCAGAAAGAATCTGTATGTGTAATGACTACAGATGAAGCGTTCAAATCATAATTATATGTTGACCATGTACTCGCCCTGGTTTTAATACCAGCTGATGCAAATAGTGCAGTCACAGAGATGAGGGCTTTCATTTGTTTTGGGCATTATGTTTTACAGGAAACCTTGAAGCAAAGGGTGAACAGATCAGGTGCATTTGTATTTAATATTTTTACAATGTCTTCCATACAAGCGATGCAGTTCTCGGGTCAAAGAAAATTTGGCTCATTGGTTGTATCCTTTTATAAAGAGGAACACCTATGCACAGTCTTTGCTAATGCAGACTCTACTTGATATTTGACTTTTTATTCCTTTTATTCATATACTCAATGAAATCTGCAGAAATATAGACATGCAAACCGATTTTCTTTTAGCAACATTTGAATAGGGTATGTGACTAAGGAATATAGAAAGAGACTTTAGGTTTTTACTGTGTTTAGTGTGATCTATTTTCTATACTATTCAGTCACAAACATAGGTAGTTTCAGTCCTGGGTGGCTGCAGGCAGCACTGATTTAATCTTCTCTTATTTAATTTTTTTGTAACAGCTCCTCTCAGATTGTGATGTAAGTTACGCTACAGTAGGCATTGCCACATTTTTTGGTTTTCATGTGACGATTTCATGTGAAATCATCATACAGACTTAATACTACATTTATTGAATTAGTCTAAATATGCTACTGTGTGTTTGTGCAGTTGTACTACAAAGCAGGGTCCTGTAACTGCTAGCATGTGCTGTCTCTAGAATGGAAAGAATGGACTGAACTAAGTAGCCTAACTGTCCAATGAAAACCAAACTTTTAAAAATTCATATTCTGTTAACTCATACCCAAATAAATGTTGTTGACTCACCCTATACTCATATGTGGCCAAAGCATAAATTGAAGAAAATACACTTCAAAAACCCCACCTCAAACTTGGGAGAATCTCAATTGCATACTCCTCGCATCCTCTTCTCACCTTCTCAAATTCCATTGGATGAGAAAGCCAGAGGTCCAGCCCTGTTGACCTTCTCTTCCAATGGGTTTTGAGAAGGGAGAGAGGACACGAGGAGTATGCAATTTAGATTATATCTCAAACTGATGTTTAAAAAAAATACTTGTTATTTCCTCAGAGGATGATGTCATCCTCAGGAGGATGAGCTGGCCAATCTACTTGCACCATTCTGTTGTTGGGGTACTTGAAATAACATACATAGCAATTTTTTGGAAGGAAAACAATCACTCATATTGTAGATATGTCATATTTAATAGAAATCAGGAAACACTGGACAGTTACATTAACAGCTGTGAATATATTTTCTACAAGAGTGAATAACAGCAATTTCGTTCCACCTTGTATATTTTTGTACCTTAGCTTTGTTAATGAAAATAAAATCCTGTTCATTCTATAGACTATTCATTATTCCCTATTTCTGTTGAATTACTGTAGATACAAGTTTTCACCTTGTTGCAACAAAGCATTTACATAAATGTTACAATGTTATACCATACACTATATGAGTGTCACACACAGCTGTACTTAATTCAATAAAAAATCTCTTTATGGTACAGATCTGCAGGCTGGGAGTATAAAAATAGATTTTATTGACATCAAAATCTCCCTGATGCTGTAGGCTTTGCATGTAGTTTGGGTTTTAGATACATGTGATTAAAATACACCTAATAGGAATGTGACGCTATGGAGGAATAAAAGACAAAGAGTACAGTACATATACAGAGAAAGTGCACCTCTTGCTTTGTACAGGGTTTCCTACCCTGAGTCTGCATGCATTGCTAGTGGGATATATTGCATGATGGTACGGTTCATTCAATGTAAAAAGCCTAAAGAACATATAATTCACTGTGCCATTAGTTTTTCAAGTCGGAGTTGCATGATGTGTAAAGACTTCTCTAGGCTAGAGAACTGTTTCTCTAGGAGGGATGCCACGTGTTCTTTCCCATTGATGGAGTCCTTTGTGTTGGCAATGTGCTCCTTTATACTAGAAACACAACATAGCATCAATCACAAAAGGTTCTTATAAACCTAAAAACTGGTTCCTAGTCCCATAATCCTTTTGCACAACGATGTACTCATGGAGCTCCTAAATATTTACATCCCAGCGGGATTGGTTCAAGCTGTATCATACTAGAAAGATGGGGAGGACTGAAGATGTAGAAAATGTGAAATTATTCAGGCGGCGTCTGAACAACTGTTTCCACTCTGTTTTTGGACCCCTCTACTCAGTGTGACAGGTCCTGAACATAGACTGTTCTCTCTGCTTCCGCACGGCAAACGGTACCGGTTCATCAAGTTTGACACCAGCAGACTCCTGAACAGCTTCTATACCCAAGCCATAAGACTGCTAAATTGCTAACAAAGTGGCTACACTGAGTTGACCCTTGTATTTTATTTTTGCACTGTCTCTATGCACGCTCACAGGACTACACACTCACACTGACATTCCAACACACACACACACACACACTTCATTTGCTCACACACATTTATACTGACCCTACACACACACACTCGCATACAATCATATACGCTGCTGCTACTCTGTTTATCATATATCCTGATACCTAATCACCTTACCCCTATACATATTAATTAGTTTGCCTCTTCTTGGGCAAATTTAGTGGGAGCTCATGGTGGGTGTCTTTTAGGGCCCAGTTGTTGTTGCTAGTCAACTTTCAGTGGACACCCCCATGAGTGTCTTTCAGAACCCCTCCTAGAACCCCACCTGTTTCGTTTTGGTTGTTGTTAGTGACTCGTTGTTAGTGACTCTTTGTTAGTTCCCCCTTCTGTTTGAGCGACAATTTTTGGTTTCTTGCTGGGGAACGTAACATCTATCACTCCAGTATCCCTACACATTGTAAATATGGTATTGGAACTGAGCCTGTATATAGCTTACTTCTCATGTTCTTCTTATTTTTATTTCTCGTGTGTTCTTGTTCTACCTTATATTATTTTTAGTACTATATTGATTACTGCATTGTTGGGTTTAGATCGTGCAAGAATGGCATTTCACTGTACTTGTGCATGTGACATTAGAACTTGTCTAGTGGCTGATCATGCATGACTTCATCCGCTAGGAATTCAACAATGCTGGTTTGGAGCAGAAAGCTCCATATGACCTTGGCCTTTTGTTGTCTCACTCCCCTACTCTGCTTGCACAAGCCCCTAGAGGAAGTTCCCTCAATCACCTTTGATCCATTAACTTCTACAATCATTTCATTTCTCAATAGTTTTACTATGCCTATAATAACAAAAACAGCCACTGTGTAAAAGGCAGTGGTGGAAAAAGTACCCAATTCTCATACTTGAGTAAAAGCAAAGATACTTCATTTAATGGCGCCGGAGGAGATTATTATTATATATATATATTATTTCAACACAACCTTTATTAAACAGTAACATGTAAAACACAAAAAACAGAACAGCCAGAGGGATTACACAAAGAAATAAGGAAGAGAGAAAAAAAAAAAAAAAAAATATATTAATAATACAAATCCACATTATATCAAGTACATTTTTTTGACATTTTGTTTTGTGTACGTTTTAATTATGCTAAATAGTTTTCCAAATCTGATAAATTAAAAAAGGGCCTTTTTCTTCATAAATTTTGATTTGTGTATGAAACATTTTCCTAACAAAATAAAGAGATTTATGACATACTGACGTTCAATGGTGGAATCAGTGTAGTAAAATAATATGTCAAACTTAGATATTTCAATGGTTGTATGCATTTTGTTGCCAAGATATAGTTGTACATCAGTCCAGAACACCTCACTATGTAAACAATTACAAAATAAGTGTTCAATAGATTCAGTTTCTAGTTCACAAAAACTGCATTCACTAGTAACATAAGGTATATATTTAGAAATCAGGCTATTACACGGGTAGAATCTATGGATAATCTTAAAGGAGATCTCCTTTACTTTATTGGTCACCATAAATTTGTGTGGAGTGAGCCAAGAAAGGTGCCAGTTTACATCAAATGATGAAGCCCAATAAAATATAGCAGAAGGAATAGAATTCCTGTAGAAAATATCCTTAAAAAAACAATTATTGAATTTCTTATCTAGTAAACCTATGCCATTCACTTGGATATCGCTTACAATAGGAGATGTTCCAAAATATGCATTATTCTGAAGTCAAGATTTTATCCCACTAGGAATAGCTTTTATAACAGTGTCATATTCCTTGCTTGAAACCTCAAAGTTGTATCTTTCCATAAATTCTCTCAGTGTAAATAGATTCCCACTAATACTAACTAATTGGCTGGAGGACAACGTTTTTCGAGAACCAGTTACAGTAAAATAACCTCTTGTTTCTATGTAATATCGACCCATTATCCATATAAACATCTGAGGTGAAAAGTTGTGTTTATACAGCAAAGCCCAGCACATTAAAGCCTGCTTGTGAAAAGCCGCCAATTTCACAGGAAGTTTTCCCACAATATAGGGACATTGTAGTAAAAAATTAAGCCCTCCGAGCTTCTGAAAAACAAAATGAGGTATAATATTACAGAAACTACGAGGATTTTTTAAGTACCTTTTAACCCAGTTGACTTTTGATATCTGATTAAAGAGAGTGAAGTCTAAGACAGTTAGACCGCCATCACAAACCCTGTTGGTGATAACATCTATTTTTATCTTATGTGGCTTGTTTTTCCATATGAAGTTGGACAATAGCCTATCTAAGGTACAGCAAGTGGATTTGGGGATGTCAATAGATGAAAAAAGATAGGATGCACGAGATA